TTGATTTTTAATCCGAAAATACAATGGGAAAATCTTTCACTAAAAAATCATCCGAGAATACTTTTGTGACACAGTCAAGAAGTCTGGCCCATCTCATAAAAATAAATAAATAAAAAAGCCAAATGCTAAGAGTAACTACAGCCTGTAAATTCTCTTTTGTTTGAATTGAAAGAGCAAAAGTAATCCTATACATTTATTTAGTGTTTTAATTGCTGGAAGAACTATTCAATTGTTGTCGTTGTTATGTGCTGTAAAAATTGGTGCTGTAAAAGATTTTCCAAAAAATATAACAAAAGGTCATAAAATAGTCAAAAAACGTCATAGAACGAACATGAATTATCATACAGAACTTTTTGTTTCTCTGGATCGTACAGTATTGAACAGATTTTCTATTTTAAAAATGGTAATTTTTTGTTTTATTCATTTTTTTATCGTTGAAAATAATAAAATGTGTGCTTCTTATTTCAGAATTTACAAATTTTGGCCCTGTTTTGTGCATTGGTCAATATCGTCCATGGCTATAATATTTTAGTGTTGGCGGAGTCCATATCAAACCGTCAAAACCTATGCCGAGTGATCTTCAACAATTTTTGGACGAAGTCAAAGATGGTGTGATTTACTTTAGCTTTGGCACATTTGTGAACGCATCGCAAATTCCAAAAGATAAATTCAACGTGTTTTTGGGTAAACAAAACAGGGTTCTTAACTTTTTAATGATGATTTATATAGCAAGGGCATATGATTATTTTTCAGAAACTTTCAGTAAGCTGAAGCAAAGAGTTATTTGGAAATTTGAAAACGAGGCCATTCCAAACCTTCCGAAAAAGGTTCTAGTTCGAAAGTGGTTACCTCAAAATGATATACTGGCCCATCCGAACGTTTGCCATTTCATAAGCCATGGTAATGTCATTGCTCTTAACCTGAGTTAATTACGTTTTCGTTAAATAGGTGGTATGTTTTCAAATTTTGAAGCCATTAATAATGGCATTCAACTTTTGATGATTCCGTTTGTGTTCAAAGTGCAAGATATGGCAAAGTTTTGGATTATAAAGATATAACGCACAAAACACTATTCGACAATGTCAACGAAATATTAAAAGACAACAAATATTCGACTAAAGCCAAAGAGATTTCGGCGATTTTTGGTGAGAATCAAGTTCATCCGATGGATGATTTCATTTTGTGGGTTGAATATGTGATTAAGTTCCGAGGTGCGAAACATCTGAAGTCACATGCAGTCGAAATGTCACTATTTTCATATTTATCCGTGGATGTGATATTGGTTCATTTAGTCATAGTTTTAGCTGTTATATACATCTTTTACTATATGGTATATACAATTGTTTTGTTTGCGAAAGAAAAGTGTTACATCAAACAAAAAGCAACAGTAGGTCCAATGAACCGAATGGCAAGTTAACTACTGTCAAAATCAATGTAGAAAATTTAAAATTCTGAATTTTATGAAAGGAGCCTTTAATGAGAACTTATTAAATGTTTCAATTCGACTAACAATGTTTTAATTTGATACACGGTATAGTATGTGGATTCTGCCTATTTTTTTAAAAAAAATATCGTATTAAAACAAATGATCGCAATTTAAAAAAAAGAACTGAATATTATCTATAAAATCGACATCTCTCGTTTTGCAAGCAAAAATATCATAAATTAAGAACCGGTGTGGTGAACGATTTAGTCGATGATAACATTTTATTGTTCTAGCATTGGTTCGTCAATAGGAACACGTAGAACTCGAGGTCCATACAGAAGAACGTAAGCACAGTGCCAGTCGCCGCCTCCGCTCAAACGAAGTACCTCTTCGCTTGTTATTGGACTAACAGTGTCATCATCGAATTTGTACCATTTGTCTTCAGTGGGCGATTGACGCACCCAACCAACGTAATGGCCCGAAGAACTTGAACGTCCTTGATGAGTTAACACTGCATGTAATGTATAATAACCGGAATTGTTGCTTCCGATGTCATCTTCGAATGAGAATGGCAGAGCCTTGGTTTTGTCATCTTTTTCTGGTTCATTTTGTTTGTCCTTTGATTTTGGATTTTGAAGTGCAGCATCCTCTATTTCCTATTCGAATACAAAAAAAAAATTGTGTATACTGAAAGATTCATAAAGTTAAAATGTGTTACCTTAAACTTTGATCGCATCGGCACCAATTTCTCTTGAAGCGACTTGCTACACAATTCAAATGCATCGAAATCGATCGGGAACTTTATATCTTTCAACACTTTGGCATTGATGCCTTCTTTGCCTTTATATTGGAATCGAACGAAGTTCACAGTTAAATAGGCCGGTAGACGACTGATTTTCGAAGTTCGAGAATAAAGTGCGTCACGGTCCAAAGTTGTGGATTTTTTCGTTAATTGCTCTTGAAGTTTCTAGAGAAGAAAAAAACAAGATATTTATTTACTTCTGTTGTAAAAAGTAATCGATTCGATTACGAGGAAATACGTACCGATTTAATTCCGCTCAGCATATATTTGACTTCTTGCGAAATGAAGCAACTTAATTGTAGAAAATTTTCCGCGCTAAATGTCGGCTGCTCCTCTTCACTTTCCGTGCACTTCATCTCAATATCAAAAGTTCCGCCAAAATATTGATCAATTAGGGAACTGAAATTAAAATGTTTGTTGAACGATATGTGTTTAAAAATATCGCAAACCAATAAAACAGATAAGATGCAAAACTGAAAACTTACTTGTAGCTTGAACTTAATTCACCATTTTTAATGGGCTTCAATTTTTGCTGTAACATTTTCAGTAGCTCCGACCAACATTCATTTGCATCTTGTTGACGGTATGAACCATTTTCTCCCGGTTGCGCGAATTGTGGGAATGCCATGTGCAGCGTTTGCAACAGAAGAACAGGCGTCACCGTCGATCCACTGTCCATTTGATCAAACACACTACGCATTGCAGCCGTAATTGATTGTGCCGATGCTAATGAACTGATGGAAAAATCTTCCTTGTATTCTTTCAAGGCAGTACGTAACTCTGGAACAGATTTCAGACATTGAACTACGGCATTCATATAACACGTATTTCCAAGATTAGTTAATCCAGATGGCAACTTGAGAGCCGATGCAAGTTCTGATTCATTCATGTCCTCAATAAATTTGGGCCGTTCAATGGGCTCCGATTCCATTAGATCATCTTTCGTGCCGAGCAACAAAATGACAGCACCCTAAAAATATCAACATAACGTAACCTCAATTGAAACCATTTAAACAACTGAATTCACATCGCTGTGGATCGCAATACATACATCCTTCAATGCAAAATTCCAATTGTCGTCTTTGAGTGCGACACCTTTACACATAACCTTTTGCCGGTGCGGTTGAACTCCAGTCAATGCGAATAGCTGAGCCTTAAACACCATTGGATCTTCATCCGTGTTGACTTGAATGTTTGGGAAATTTTCACGGCCCCATTTTACTTTCACTTAAGTTGATTGTAGAATTTTCCATTAAAAAAATAAATAAAATATTTCTTACACAGACATTAACTCACCATTGTAGCTCGGCATTTTGGATGCAATCTATCAATGTCACAATGTTAATTGGAAAAAGTAGCAAAAAAAACTAGAATGATCTGAAGTCTGTGAAAATGGTCGAGAAAATTATGATGACAAACAGTTTTTCTAGTGTTTTTCAGTTAGATTCAATGATATTGAAATCAAAAGTGTGTTATTCGTTCAAATAATAGGTAGCAATGACTCGACTGTTTGTAGAGAAGAGTGACAGTTGCTGTGCTCTGTTCAATTGTATGAGTGAGTGTGAGTAGATTGTATTATCGACACACAAGTATCAAAAATGTAATAATACGTTAAATCATTGCGTTTCAAATGTTTCATTTTCGATAAAAAAACGGCATAAAAACTTGAAAACAAAAAAAATATATTTTGTTTTAATTATAAATCGACATTCTTTCACAGGCAATTTTCGAACAAAATTACAAAATAAAATGCAATAGAAAGTTAAACTATACGAATGCAATATTACGTGTGAACGATGCATTACGTTTGCTCATCATTTTTCTGATACGATTTTTCATTCACCTAGACATTTCGACGTAGTTGTGCACACATCGAATGGAGATATGTCAGAACGGCCTTGAAATTGGATGAAAAATACACTATTTTTTTTTGTTTTGCTGATATTCGCTTTTAAAAATCGCTTCCATTCTCTTCATACTTTTTCATTGTGTTTTCTATCGTGTTCATTCGAAAAATCCATGAAAATCTAAAAACATTTATTCCGATTTTTCGCCTTTATCTTTTATTATTTACTTAATTCCAGTAGAGTGTATTGTAATTTTGAACTTTCTTTCATTTGTTGTGTTCTACATTTAGACAAAAAAAAAAACAACTCTACTAGTGCAAAATATAAATGTGTTTGTGATTAAATTCTTATTTGACTTTTCCTTTGTTACTTGTGACTCATATTTTTTCAATTAAATTCTGCACTGTTATCAATGCTGGAATTGTTATCATTATTGACAAACAACGTAGAACCGTACAATATAAATCAATAAAAGTCATTCGTTGTCACAAGTGAGTGAAAAGTGCGTAGTTTGCTCCAAAATATTTTCGATTCACAAACATATAAATATGTGATTGAAAATCATCCAACCAAAAGATTGTAAGTGTTCAATGGGCTTTTTGAAGTCGATGTCATTTTTTTATTTGCAATTTGTAACAATTGATTTATTTTATTTATCCAAATAGTTTTCTACGCAAGAGAAATGTTGACAATTCCATAATGAAAAACTGAGAAGAAAACGGTGAACAAACAAAATTAATGCGCACAAAAAGTGCATCGCTCATTCGTTCACACAATGAACGGTATGGTGTTGAATTGAACATTGAACTCTCCAGTCTATTGTGCAAAAAGCGTACAAAATTAATAATTTAGCCAAATGGGCGGCTGTATGAGTAGTGAAAGTCGCAGCAATAGCAGAATGGAATTGAGCGATCCCAATTCGAATTTATTTCGTGTGACAAATGTCGATGATAATGGTGTTGCACAATGGAGCGGTCATTTGACAATATCACGCAATGAAATAACATTATATCGTAAAAATTTGGAACCGACACGATGGCCATTGAAGTGTTTACGACGCTATGGTTACGATATTGATTGTTTTTCGTTTGAAGTGGGACGTCGATGTGCCACTGGCGAAGGTATTTATGCATTTAAATGCAGAGGAGCGGAAACACTTTATCAGACACTCGAAAATTACATTCAAACATCAACGGTTGGCGACGATGTAATGGGTCTTTTACCGAATTCAAATTCAATAATATCACGTACGGATGCATCATCACCGATGTCAACGCTAAGCAATCAAAATTCAACCACAAACAATATGATTGGCTCATACATTTTACCCAATTCACGTTCATCAAACACAAATAACCTGCGCAATGTGACCGACGATCAACGACGCAGCTATGATGCATCTGATTCAAATTATCTTGAACCAATTGCGAATCGAGCAATGCCACATTTTCATACGCTACCGGATGGAACCATTGTCGTCGAAGCACCATTGTCACCTGGTTCACCAAGCAGTTTGAACAATATACTCGAAGTGACTTCATTAAATCCATTGCCAAATACTGGACTGAATAATAATGGTGTAAGCAATGTGTATCTAGAATTTGATTTACGCGGCAATAACACCAGTGGTCGTGATAATTGTGTGAAAAAACTGTCACTCGATATTCCACCACAAGAATATGCACCGACCGTCAATTTTTCATCGTCAAACAATGAGATTCAAAATCCTCAAGTGATAGCCAATGAAAATAAATTCAATGGTAATCAAACAAATCTTCCTCATTCACTACCAGTTTCACCAACACAATCGAATGATGCATCCGATACGATACCTACATACGTAAATGTAAATGTAACACCTGGCGAAATATCAAGCACAGCATCAACGCCAAAAGTTTTACTCAACGATTACAGACAAAATCAAATATTTCGAAATAATGCTAACAATAACAATTATTTAGTCGATTCATCAAGTGCAACGCATTGCTATGAAAATCTTGAACCAAATGAAGTGCGACCGATTTTATTACGAAATCGTCGTTTGTCACGTACGGAAATGTTGGCCAAAGCTGACAGTCTTATCAATTCACCAACTACAATAAATGAAAATATTTCGGAACCATCGACACCAAACAACGGAAGTGTTAACTACATCGTACTTGATTTGGATCAAAGCCATTCACAGACCACCATATCATCTGCAACAGCAACAGCTTCAAATTTGCATGCCAATACAGATACTGCGTTGAGTTCACAATCATCGCCGATTAAAAATGCAAACGCTACTATATCATATACAATGAGCCCATCGGTTAGTGCAAGTACTCATTCAGTGTTATCATTGATGCTACCGGATAGTCCTCAGCGCAAAGAATTTGACTATGTCACTATTGATTTTAATAAGACACATGCGTTGTCCAATTCCATTGCACCATCGACAACAACCGAATGCGAAGGATTACGTAAAACACGACATAGTTCTAATGTTTTGCCCAATGTTCCGCCTGCAGTTGCAGCAACAAACACAGCATCGTCGCACAGCAATTCGGTTAGCGATTAAATTGTATGAAAATGATTCAAAATTGCAATAAAAAACAAAACCAAAATGTAGAACAACAAATGATTCATACGTAAGTCCATAACAGTTATGGAAGTCATAAATTGAGAGGCAAAAAAAGAAATTATTTTATAAATTCCAAATTCAATTAACTTTTGTATGAGGAACAATATCGCACAGTAGGTGTGTGAACAATTTCCCGTTCGAATTTATGTAAATAATTGGTAATGGATTTCTGAAGGAAACTCTCCGAGATATACATTTTACAAATTAATATTTCATTTTATACGGAGAATTCCACAAGAGACTTCCACAGTAATAGACGAAACATAACAACAACAAACAAACAAAAAATCGAAGAAAGAGTGTTAAAATTTTAATGACAATATTTTTTATTGAATCCGAATTGATAACAACAAATACTCTTACTAAAACACGAATCAGTCTTTTCTTTTGCCAAAGATATTCAATTTTTAAATGATGAAACGAAACCAAATACTCAAATCGAAAATATGGCGATTTTTGAAGACATTTAATTTAACAAAGACATTAATTTTAAGGAATTATGAATTCGAAACAAATTGATACATCGAACAAACTAAACATCAAAACCATATTTGTTTTAGAATGAGAGAAAAAAAAATCATATAAAAAATTATTTCAATGTTGTATTCATTTTAAAAGACTTTGTTTTATATAATTCGGTTGAACAGACAATTGAAAAAATCAATATTTGATGTAGTTTAATTTTGAATAGAAATGATTTTATCATGCTTTAAGCAGCTGTGTGAATTGATCAACATCAGTCATTTGAATACTGAAAACTGTTACAAATTATAGTCAACTTATATCTAAGGCCCAAAGAAGCTCATTTATGGCTTTTAAATATTATATCCTTATTAAGAGGCAGCTAAATTTTCTAAGAAAAAATGAATAAGCCAAAGACAAGAGTCGAAAAACTCCATAAAAAAACCAATGAAAGCTTTGAACATTTTGGATACAAATAGATTTACCACTCGCGAATATTTTAATATGTGCGCGTAATTTTCAGCAATGATTTTATTTTTTTTTCAAATCAAAGACATCACACCAAAATTTTACACTGGCACTAAACTGAAATGATTCGCCACTAACTGTTGGCGTTGATTTGAAAAGAATACACTGAATTGTACGGTCTATGTGATTTGTCGCAAACATAAATTATCTATTGTAAATACCAAAGAATTATTTATTAATCAAACTGAAATAATAATATATGCGCAGCTATAATTTTAGGAATAAAATAAAAAAGAATAAAATAATTCCTCTTGTTTATGTTTTAATTGAAACTTCCTTTGGTTGGGAAATGTGAACTATTTCGAAGGTGAGTCTAAAATCGAAATATCTTTCAAAAACTCATCAAACTAAAAACAATGGCAAGTATAAATAATTTGTAGTTTATTTCTTCTGTAAAGTACAACAGGTTTTGAACCCGCGCTCTGTTCAGTCACTGAAATGAGCAAGAAAACTACGACATGCGCAGTTTGACAGATCTACGTTCAATGACGTTTCTGTGTACAAAACACTTTTGACAACTGAACATAGAGTTGATAATTTGTTTACTTCATATTTTTCAGACCAAATATTCACAATTCTCAAATAATAAATATGATTTCTTCAGATCCCGTTTTGGATGAAAGAGTAAAGAAGAGTAAGTGTAAATTACCATTCAACAGAATTCATTGAGTTATTTTTTTTTAAATGTTAAATTGCAGCGAGTGAAAAAATGTCCGAAAATTTACATATTATTGGAAATGACCCGTCTTTGGCACTATTTCGTATGCAAGAACATATTCGAAAAGGTAATAATATTTTTTGTTATTTGTGAACTGTGAATAAACACGAAACTTTCAATTTAATAGTGATGCCAATGATTGTGGAACGTCGGGCTGATGTCGAAAATATTCAACACGAGTTGCAAGGGCGTTGTTACGATTTAGAATATTCTTTAAGGTAATTTTTTTATTCGTGCTGAAATCACGGCAAATATTTAAAATGAATTCTTTTATTGTTTTCAGTGCTATTAAATCAATAGATAAATCAGATGGTACGTTCAAAAATATTCAGGAATTGCTAAAAAGTGCCATATTTTTAAAACAACAACTGAAGAGTGAAGAGACGAAACGACGACCAGGTACATCTGGCAGCCAAAATTCGGTTTACAAGAGATTATCAGGTGAGAGTAATATTTGAAAATATTTACCAGAATTAATTTGAGACGTTTATTAAATAATAATTATTATTATATAAGTTCGTATGACACATTTTTCAAAATTCATGTAATTTTATTTTTATTTTTTCAGCACATATTCAAACAACATTAGAATTGCCTGACCTTGATTTTTCGGGTGCATTACGTGAAACGACTTCTCGCGTCGAAAATATGATGTCGTCAAATGCCCGAAACACTTCAACACAACCAAATCCAGTCACAAGCAGCAGCAGAGCCAGTAGCATTAGTAATGTTAGCACAAGCAGCGAAGTTATGCAACGATCACATACAACTCTGCATTAAATCACGTTATGAGATAACTATGACTATGAAAGCACACGAGTGTTCCGGAAGTAGTTTGGGCTATAATCGATTCAGCGATTTGCAGACTCTCTATTACACAAATTGGCCAACAAATTATTCGAAAGAAAAATAAATTCCTCGATAGAACTAAGAAGATCTTAAAAAAAGATTTAACAAATTGAATACTGATTTCATTCCCACGAAAACACTAAAAATGAGATTAAATATTGAGCGCTTATTTACAAAAATGTCTCGTAAATTTATTTTATTAAGATTAGCTTAAACTTAAAGAACTCCTCCGTTTTGAAATCTTCGATTGTTTCGAATATTTGTACGATGTCGTTTCCAGCGCCTAATTAAAATGAATAGAATAGCGACCGATGACGAAATAATGATAACATTTAACGCAACAATTAACCACAATCCGAAACCTTTATACCACAGCAATTCATACTCGTCCACTTGCTCTGAATAAAGATGACTGTAGAACCTTGACCGTTCATATATCGTCTTGTCTGGTTTGCAAAACGGTTCAGAATGATTGAGAAATGATACCAAGCGATGATGAGAGAATCTCGCGGGTGATGAACAACGAAGCTCGTACAGGTAGTGATGATTCTCTTGATTTACATAAAGCAATGGTACAAAGAAGTCCACCAGCCACTGCATATTACAATTGCATTCAATTGGATTCCCCTGTAAGTTCGCCCCATGATCTAATGCGGACCAATTCATCCAGTTGTGATCAATAAATTTCAGATTATTATAACTCAAGTCCAAGCCACACAATTTTGGTACTCTTTCAAATGAATTCCGAATTTTTCGCAGCAACGGACTATGCGATATTATTAACTGAACACAATCGGACTTTGGTGCTACAAAAATGGGAAATATCATTACTAAACGATGACAATTGAATTCTTTTTAAATAAAATGTAACCAGTACCAATGGAGTTAAACACATTTGCATCGAATTCGGTGAGTGTGGGTAGTTCGCTCAAATCAATAATATCTGCCGATAATTTGGTGGTGAATTCGATTGTTTTAATTGCATTTCCCCTGAATCTCAATTCTTTCAAATTTGGAATTTGAGAGCCCAAATATTGTGGAATGCTCTCGAACGAATTATAAGATGCGTCAAATACCTCCAGGGCTGGGTAGTGAAGTGACGATGGCAATGAATTGATATGATTTTTCGAAACGTTGAAATATTTAAGTGATAAAAATTTGATTCTATTTTTACTCGCCGTCGCAGTATTGAAAATTTCAATTAGTTCATTCTCTTGTAGTTCTAATTTTTGTAGATTTTTTGGATGTATTGCCATGGGCCAGTATTTTAATTGATTTTTTGCCAGCGAAATGTGTTCAATGCTATCGGGCAATTTCAACAAAACATCTTTTAAATTATTTGAAGATAAATCCAAAGTTCGTAATTCGTCAAGTTCTTGGAAAGCATTGGGTTCAATGTTTCCCAAAATATTCGATGAAACATTTATATAATTACTGCAAAAGAGATGAATAAGCATTAAATTGAAAATATTCCGAGAAAATTGTTATTGGCAATTGTAAGAAAACTTACAGTAAAGGATACGATGCAAAAGTATTACTGGTTATCAACATCATTTTGTTGCTTGATAAGTACAAGCTTTTCAATTCTAAATATTTATTTTGATTGCTATCAGTAATCGAAAACAATGCATTATTCTCGGCATACAATTTCTGAATGCGCGGCGAAGCATCCAATATCTGTTAAATTGTTTCGAGAGAAAAAAAAAACATAGGGAATAATGAAAACGTCTTCAATTTTGTTTGAGAAAACGCAAAAGAAAAAAGTCTGCCATTACCTCGTTCACTTTCAATATCGTTATCTCGTTATGACTCAAGTCCAACTCAATAATATGCTTACATCGCGATAAAATGACTCCATCGAATTCAGATAATTTATTGTGCGAAATATTCAGACGTTGCAGCAAATGCGTCGATTCAAATAATTCTGTAATAAATATAAATGCATGCATGTGCGTGCACGATGTGATAAAGAAGGTCAGTTTACATAAATAATAAATATTGAAACACTATGACTAATATGTTCTGTTTAAAATTGTACCTGATGGCAGACCATCAATAAGATTATTCGCAATCGAAATTGATGTCAAATTGTTACAGTATTGAAATGGATTGCCCGTTATATGCTCAATGACATTCTTTTCTAAATTAATTTCCACTAAAGTTGGTGTGATGGATGGTTTTAGTGTACTACACAACAGACTAAAATAGATTTAATTGAAAATAAATGATTTTATTCAATCGAAAAATTCAATGGTCAATTTCTCAAAATTACTTATTCAAATAGGTTAATTTGAAATCGTTAAATTTCACGGAAACCGTAATATTTCTGTTCGGCCATCGGATACTATACAAATCAATCGCTTGATCATCTCTATTTTTATTGCATGCAAAGAATTCTTCTGGGATGACACATGCCATATCCGAGCTATTTTTTGTTGGATCACAGACATTTGGAGTACAATTACAAAAATCACATATGTCACCACGTATTTGTGATATTATCACAAACCCAATCACAATTGAAAGTAATTGATACATTAACGTCTATTTTTATTTCTTATTCCGTCGATTTTCAAAACTTTTTTTTTCGTCTTCTTTCATCAACGCAACCAATAACTCAACACTGATGTTAACCACTCAATTGCTCTCACCAAACTGTATTTAACTGTGTACCGATTTTTGCTGTTTGGTAACGAAATTCGACCTTATCTATTTAACCATTGGTGTTTACTAAATTTATCACGGAATTGTTCGGAATTACCGAAAACCTTATTATTTATTTCATATTTGTTTAACTTTTTTTTCTTCTGTCTCGTCTCTCTTTCCGCCAACACAATAAACCTTGAGCGAAGATGTGTTGCAAAGTCGAAGTCAGAAAGTATCTATATTGTAAAAAAATACACAAACCATACCATGTTGAGCGTGTAGCACAATGGTGCTGTTATTTCGTCACTGAAAGTGTTCTAATCTAATCATAAGCAAATATATTTCATGCGAAAAGATAAGAATCATTCGTATATGGTATGTGTTGGTAGATTAAAAGGGTCTGTGCTATCAGCACATATACATTTTGTTCATTTTGTTCACTGATCAAAGGCAAATATTTGCTACGGATTCTAAACGATCGATAGCTTGAGTTCAATTCCATTTCTTTTGAGTACAGTAGTTTGTTGTTTTTCCGTACAGTCACTAATGTGTCAAAGATCGTCGGTTTCGGGGCCTCTTTCCGGTTTAATTCCCTCACTTTATTTTTGCAGGCAGTTTTTTTTCTTTTTCATCTTATTTATACGTGAAAGCTAGAGCTAGAAAAGTGTCGTATTACTTGTACGTGATCGTTCACTCAGTTTTCAATTCGGAAAACGGAACATCTAAGTAAAATGAGCACTTCATGACCAGTATTACAATTTCATAATTTCGAAATAGTTTATTCTTCAAATTAACATTTAAGTTTCGAATGCAATACTGACACACGAATTTGCATCCACGGAAAACAAAGATCAAATTATTTTCTAGGTATAATAAAATCATCGCTGGCGATGAGAATGACTTTATGACCAACTATCATCAAATTGAGTCGAAAAATGATGAAAATAAATAGTTAAATTACCTGTTATCACATTTCTTTTGATTATTGCGACATTTTCTCACACGCAACTTTATTTTCCGTACACTGTGTTACATATTGTCCTGTAAAATGACAAAAAAAACGATGACACAATTGAATATGGTTGCAAAAGACCACAGACAAAGCAAGTGGAGAAATGTGCAAGAATTACAACATGTTGGAAAGATGCAGAATAATGAGATCCATTTGGAAGTGAAACAGGAAAAAACATATAATTATTAAATAATTTGTACTTGGTGCATATTCAAAACATTTTTCGACGCTATTATTGTTCATTTTTCGTCAACAATTTCATTGATTGATGGACCATCTTGTTTACACACTGAAATTGAAATGAGATTTTGGCTGACGTAGAAGTAAAAATAGTAGTGCATCAAAACAATCGCATGGAAGGTTTCAAGTTGCATTTGATACCGAGATGAACGTAAACAAAATTGAAGAAATACAAAATCTATATAGAATATATGAAAAAACAGAGAAAAAGAGAAAAAAAGTATAAAATCTGAATCGCCGCCACGGCCGGTTATAAAATCGTGAAACGACTTATGTGACTTGTGTATTCGCAAATGAATGATGTGGGAGGGAGAAATGAAGAAATTAATGCAAATGGTACGTGATTTTTCATTGTCTTTAAAAATAGCGTATGCAATGGTTTTTTATTTGGTTGCTGCACCGGATAGCCATAAAGCAAAGCAACTCACAGTATAAAATTCCCACTTTTTTTATTTTGATTTGTTGTTGCTGCTGCTGCTGCTGTTCTTCTTCTTCTTCTTTTTCTTTTTTTTTCAGTAAGTTCGTAAATTTATTTTGCTTGATTCTTTTGCGTCACTTTTTGTAGGCGATAGAGAAAGAAAGGGAGACCGAAAAAAAAGGAAAGACCGAATAACAATAGTTCTGTATGTGCAAACTTTGTTCGTATGCCAAAGTTCCACAATCGATAAAAAAGAACTGAAACAACCAGCGCTCCATATGCTGGTATTTCACTCCATTCTTTTTTTGTCGGTTCATACTATAAATAAGATTGGCTATAAAATGCAGGAAAAGAGAATGAACGTGCAAAGAGGACACAAAAAACACACTCCGTACACACAAATTGTGAGATTTGCCCCAGTCCATATATTAAATGAATATTTTTATTTATGCAATTTTCAATCCAAACGGGCATATTTTCGCGGCTGCGGAATTCAAAATAATAACAGTGCCAAAGAGCTCACGCTCTCACAAAATTACTTCCATAATTGCTTAACTTGACTGCTCTTAATTCGATTCGTCAAACGTAATTTGCCGTTTTGAATTTTCATTCTTGTGCTTGCTATTCAAACGATTTTCATATGTTTTATATTCCCGTTTGCATTCACAACCGTTTCAAAATTTTATGAACATTTTTATTACGTTCTTTAACATTATTTTCAAATAGTCAATAAAATATCAAATATTTTCCCCGTTAACCTATAACGCCGGCATCCAAATTTCAAGGTGTGATTTGTCACAAATTCACTTAATTTTTCTATGGTACATCATCTTGTTTCAACATTTTTATAAATTGATACATTTTTTTTTATTTCGTTTCTCTCTAAAGATCTCTCAATAATTAATTAACAATTAGAAAACGATGCTGATAAGAAAATTGTATTTAAAAAGAGTGACAATGCAAAGGACATGTATTATCATAACAAGTGTGTATAATATTTAAAAATGTATAAAACAGAAGAGCTACCCCAATTTTTCAATTGAATGAAGCTGTTGCTTGTTTATTTTTCTACAGAGAAGTTGTTGTTATATTTTGTTACGATTTTTTGGTGTTTTATAAATAAACATTTGTCTGACATATATCAAATTGCCGTTTAAATGGGATTTTTTTTGGATCATCAAACAGATAAGTAAAGAAATCATAAAATAGATGGACAATTCAAAGATAGAAGTTTATATTTAAGAAGAATTTAAAATAAATTTGATTAAAAAATACGTTTAAATCAACGTCTTCTATTAAAAGTAAGCAAATAGGCAGGAAAGTTTTTATAGAATATGTACTAAGAAAAAAGTCGAGAAGCGGAAAACTACCGCCGGAAAACCAAATCAATGTTTGTCACCAACGAACATATTACTTTGGCTTCTGCTTATGTTTGCAGAGTTGAGAGTGTTGCATGTGAGGCTGTTGATCATGTTTTATGTAAATCATCTAAATCAAATGTTTTGATTTACTTACTATTTGTAAATATATAATTTTTTGTTTTGTAAATATTTTGAACGTGTTTATTATACAGAAATTACATAGTAAATTATGGCGTGCGCGGATTTTGTTTACTATTTAACACATTATTATGTTAAATAATTGTGAATCGAGAGGTGGTTTCACGAATCTTTAAATTCATTGAAAATTGCTATTCATACACATCTTTTTTTCTTCACAAAATTAGATTTTATCGGAGGAGACAAGTCTCAGTCGCGGTGTCTAACGACGTGCATCGATTCCATTTTCGTATTAATCGTCGTCGGTGAAAAGCATTTTATCAAACAACAGTCATGTATCAACATTTTAAAAGAAGAGAGATTCAGTGACAAAAATAGATCACTTTTTATCTATCAACTGACGACACAGTAGAAAATTAGAAAATTGGAAATGGCTGGGGCTAGAGGTTAAGTGCTCATGTTTAGCGCCTTTTTATATTTTTGAAATGCACAAATTTAAAGAGACAGTGAACTTAATTTATGGCCTCAACTGACAACTAATGTTTCGATCAAGAGGGCCACAAACATAGAAAAAATTAACCAAAAACATTTAACGGTATGTCAATTGAATACAGCATACCAAGTAACATTTGCAACACACATTATGAGACAGAGAAGAGAAAAACGAAAAAAAAGAGATCAGACAACACTTTATACACATTTTAAAGTCCATTGGGAATTAATTCACAATTTGTGATCATTTAATCATATCAAGCGTATTGAGCGTACTAAACTTACATCAAATATTCTTAAACGTTGACAAATTTATTTTCTTCTGTTCATACGGAAGGAAAAACGGAAGCGATTTGTTTTTAGTCTCCTGGTAATTTTCAATCGATGACGTTGATTTGTGTTCGGATCGGAACAAAGTCTCATCGGAATTCCAAATTTCTCGTTGAAATTTGTCATTGACAAAAATTAAACCCCGAAAAAAGGTCTATCTGGAGTCTTCTGGACATAGCTGGGCAGACAGGGGGGGGGACTACCCCCTGCTGAGGCATCAAATTTTTGCGTTACCCCTTTACAAAATCATCAAATTTTTGCGTTACCCCTTTACAAAATTCATGATTTTGGATAGAATTTTTCTCATTTTGCTAGGGTTTTTGGATCATAGATGAAATTTTCCTATTTTGCTAGGAGTTTTTGAGAAAATTACCCCCCCCCCCCAATCCCTCCCTGAATTTTTCAGTCTGCCCAGCTATGCTTCTGGAGAATTGGCTATAAATTCTTACCATTTTTTTCTTAAAAGTATGTCCTGGATAAAAAATTAAATGATATGCCTCATCTGATGCTTGCATGCATCAGAATGAAATAAAAATACTTGAAATTTTTTTTTTGGATTTGTATTGTTATTGTTCTGTTTTTTTTATTAACCAAATATCATACGAATATTACAAACATTCACTATAACCTATTTGATTTTGAATCAAAACTTGCACATTATACATTTATGGATTTTAACTAATTTCATGCTGACCATTTCTAATGGAACATTTTTGCACGGCATTTGCATAGTCTTTGAAAGAATTTGTACCTTGGTACACTGTCAGCAACGATTACAATTAATTTGTTATCGTTTTTTTTTGTTCTAAAACTATAAAATTAAAAACAAAATTGAAAAATCAAGTAGGGAAAGTAGCGAATTAAATCTTCATTTACTTAGTGCTATTAAATACGATATTGGTTATTCTAGTACATAACCAACATTTGTAATTGAATAAATAAATTGAAATTCGGATTTAAATAATCACGAAAATTGTTCCTAACCTAATAATATGCGTACATTTTTAACAATTGAGAAAAGTAGTCGCTAGTTTTAATGTTTCTAAATACACAACGGTGTGTAACTTTGTATTTTCTTGGAAATTGTCTTCAGACAAATGAATCGTTCGGAAGTGAATGAGATGCCAAAAATTATGGCTGCGACGAATGCGGCACAGGTGACATATAGCGTTGTTGAATCGAATACGGCGAAGACACAGCTACTTGTGTTGATGAAATATTCAGTTGACCATGTTCTTCTTTAACCATCGGAAGACCAACTGTAATTTGCAAAACAACAAACAAAAAGTTAATACTTTCGTTCACCAATCAAAATCTTCAAGTAGAACTTACTTGCAGAATCGTATGAGTACGGATAATCAAGACGTCGGGCAGTCGGCGATGTACTACCTGAAACTAGTTTTAAAATAGAAAATGAGCAATGGCCGCGATCAGAGAATGTGCCAACATAAAAAATCACAGTTACTCACCGATATTGTTGGGCAATGATGGAAAACTGTTAATCGATTGTACTGCTGACGGAATTTGAGATCCATATCCAAAACTGTTTCGTGATGGACACGACTGGTATGCATTCATTGATTGTGGATTCAACCATTGCGATGTGAGACTGTAATTTGAAAATGTTTTGTGAAAAGTTTGTGTTTTTTCCAGAGTTTAATTTAATAACTTACGCCGGATCTGGATAGCTGTAGCGATACGATGGATTTGCATACATACGAGCCGACGTTGTATAATTTGGATTGTATGGTGTTTCGTAGAGTCGTGAAATATGAGCGGCTGATGTTCGATTATACGTGCGTTTCATTCGTCGTCGACGACGGAAATTGCCATTTTCAAACATCTCTTCGTAGTGAGCATCTGAAGTGAATACGCATAAAATGAAATTCATTTAATAAACAATCACATTGAATTACATGCGAATTGTGAGTGTGTGTGTGTGTATACTTACGACTGCTTAGTGTCCAGTAGTTGCCTTTTCTTTCACCGCCACCATCTCGAGCGACTTTGATGAAACACTCGTTTAAACTGAGATTATGCCGAATCGAATTCTGCCATCCTTTCTTATTCTTCTCAAAATATGGAAAATTTGTCGTAATATACGCATAGATTTCGCTCAATGTGGCCCGTCGCTGTGGTGAATTCTACGTAATTTGAATGAAAAATGCAAAATAGTTTTTTGAAATATATGTCCAACAAATAGGAACTTTCGTAAAATGAACAATTTCTTTGGTTTATAGGTAAACATCCAAGCCTCATAAATGGAACACATTTTATCATCAAACGTGAATGCGCGAAATTGAGACGATCGACAATGAGTTGTGAAACGTGCTCAAAACGTTTCATGTCAGCAGATTACACGATCTTGAAACCGTTGAGAACGTTTCACAAAACTTGGGCATGCATTCATCCAGTGGCGTTTAAACAAAACAATTATACAAGACGTGCAAAATATGGTGACTCTATAAAAGAATTATGTACCTCAATGGCCATTGCAATCAATGCGACGTAGCTGTATGGCGGTTTCTCGTTCACGTTACTTCTTTTTGATGAGTTGACCAAGCTGTATGCAAAAGAGAGACAGACAGGCAGTGAAAGAGAGAGATAGAAAAGGGTGAACATTTTATTTCGTAAACATGAGTTTATTTACTCCATTTTTTTTTAAATTGCAGAACAAAAAAAAACATTTATTCAAAACATACCTGGATGAGTCTTGTTCGTCGACGACTGTCAAATTACTTGGCGGTGATTGGTTCTCTGTCTTGATGCCATGATTCACATGGTTGTTGTTCATCTGACTGTTGTTATTGTTGTTGTGTTGGCTTGTATTGTTTGCACTGTTCTGGATCACATTACCAGTTGTCGAACTGTGATTTTCACTTGGCATCAAGTTCAATGGATCTGAATGCGTCGTTGATGTTGGTACAGCCGTTATGTTCAAATCTGTGTATCGATTGTCAATATATCCAGTATATGACATCTTTGATATATCACACCCTATTTTTTGTGTTATTAATTAGATCAATCAATTAGTTTTGTAATATGCATTTTTGGTCAAAATGTTATGCAATTTCTGAAAAAATGTGAGGTGTTCTCATTTCAAAGCCCCAATTCCAAGCAATGGGAACAGTTTTTTTTTCACAATTATAATACATTTTTTGCTGAATTTGCGCAACAAATATGTATGTACAAGAAATCGGTTCATTTTGCACTTTATGAATCATTGATTGTGTTGAAAATTATTGAATAAAACTTACCACGATCGAGATATGACTCTGGCTTGAATCGGCTCATTGTCTGTAAGAAATACATACAACATATTATTAATGCAATTAGAAAGACACTTTGATGTCAATTAAAAAAATAGAAATACGAGAAAAAAAATCATCGAAATCAATATGAACTGTAAATTTCAACCACCAAATTCCCTTTGGCTTGACCTACTTTGGGTTTTATTTTTTTTATTTTATTGAGAAAGTGAAAATCTTTGAGCCAGCGACAATATTCATGTGTTATCGTGCGTCAATTCAGTTAACCAAACAGTCATAATAAAAAGAAAATTGTTTGTTCACTGGTCAAAATCTTTAAACAAGCAACGCGTTGTATTTCATTTGTGTAAGATATGCTTACGTCGGCGATTTTCACTGCGATTCGTTCTCTTTCTTTCAACGCACCTCTGAATTAAAAAAAAGGAGTGAGATCAACGTCCCTGTGCCATTGTTATCTTCTTACTAATCGTTAATGTGAAAACAATATAAGTTGAATGATATCGTTTTCTGCCGTTTTCTGCATTCGAATGAAATGAAAATCGTATTTGATTATTTAAATAAACTGAATATCCAAGTGCGTTGTTCCTGACACTGCATTTTGCTGGAGTCAATGTAACCAAAAGAATGCAACGATATTTACTGTCCAACACTACTGTTTATCAAATATCAATTCAGAAGCAGAAAATTATAATTGCTTTCTTTCGATATGGGTGTTTTATTTATGCTCGAATTCGATCAATCCCGATAACAATCACTTCAATATACACTGTTATGAAATTCGAACACACTCGGAGATCGCTGAAGTCAATACACTCATTAACAATTTTTGAATGAAGAAGAAGAAAAAAAAAACTGCATAAAATATGTCACAATACAAATTCACAATAATCAGCAGACGAACGAAACAAAAACAATAGAAAAAAAAATATGGATGACAATATATGTGTTTGTTGTGATTTCATGTATAAAATACAAAAAGATCACATTTTTTGGTGAGCAGATCAAATCGAAAGCGCGACAAACTGTCTTGAATGAATGAATGTGATTCGATTCGAATTGAATGTGCTAAATTTACCAGAAAAAATACGAAACGATTTTTTTTTTCTCGTCGACGGTGTGTTACAACGTAGTTTTGAACATTCCGAAACTACGAATACACGCACATTTACAATATTTTGAAGTCTAAACTATCACACGAGTTTTGTTTCTTTATTTACACCACGAACAAAATCGTCAATCACGTTGAATCACACATCAGGCCGATTTTGTGAGTGTATGTTTTTGTTTTTTTTAAATAAAAATTATTGCAAATTTCTGTCAAACTCGCCCAAATAACAGCACTTAAGAAAACACTGGCGCGTGATAAAAAACGAGATCATCAGCAGATTTTGCGACGAGAATTGAAGATACAAACAATGAATGTAGTATTAAAATGAGCAGCACGTTTGAGTTTTTTTCGATTATGGCCAATTAAGAATAAATAAATCGATGAATAATATTTCCGGTCGTCGATGAAACGATATTAACGACTGCATTGCACTTGATCAACTGGTGAAATTCGCAAAAATTATTTCTCATGTTGAAAATGAATTGAATGAAAATCGATAAAATTATAAAATTGCAACTCGTGAATAATTTTTTTTCTCTCTCTTTAGCTAATTTGGCAATAGAAAAAAAAAAATCGGATAGTTGCGAAAATGCACATGTAGTTCCATGTGATCGAACGTAAAATCAGTGACAGCAAGAGAAAGAGGCAGAAGTGAAAAAAAAACTGTCAAACTTCGCAAAATACCTTTGAAATTAGCTTTTGATACATTCGCACAGAGTCGATTACGTACATGAAATCATGCTTTAGCTATACTCAGTTTGCAAATTATGCATATTTGTTGTTCGATATTGTTCGAAGGCTTGTGCCTTTTTGACAAATATGTATTGTTTGTATTATTTCGTGATTATACGGGATTTATATAAATGCATTGGTGTTTTGACGGGGACGCAAGCCCATCACATGCATTGCAATACATACGATAAACGATTAAGTGCACAAGATGAATATTATTTATATTTCATTGTTTCCTTTTTCAGTCTTTTCTTTTCTTCATTTTACTTCATTTCATACGACACTTGATAAGTGTGTGTGTGTATGTGTTTTTTCATAATGCGCGTAATCAACGCTCAAGCGCGCAAAAACTTAATGGGAAAAAAAGCGGCACTATTGTTTCAATTGAAATATGATAAGAAGGTCGGAAAGTGTTGCATAAATAGAAGAACCCCCTGAAAGTTGGTGTTTGTTTAGAACACACATGAATTACCTACATTTAATCGCGATTGCCTCCATCATTGTAGTTGTCGACATATAAAACATACTTTCAACGAAAGAAAAAAAAAACAGTCATAATCAGTGCCTTGGCAAATGGCATGAAAATAGCTGATTTTGTGCTGCGTAATCGCGACAATTTCAAATCACTGCCGCATTAAAATAACCGAACAACAAATTTGAATACAAATATAAAAATAAAAAGAAATAAAATAAAGCTATCACTTTAGATTTGGCCTTCTTTTCTATACTAATGATAAGCCGTGCGCATCCTCTCTCCCTCTCGTTTTTCTTTGATTAAGTGATCTTTTATGAATACAAAGCTGATAAATAGAGAGGAGAGAGCAAGAGACAAATTTCAAATTGAGAAAAAAAAAAGGAATGAAAGACGATCGTCGAAATGTTTGTAAATTTGAAAATAAAACGCGGTCTTTAGAGAATTCATTTTCGATAGCACACAAAATGGATTTTGGTGAAAGTGCCAGCTGTTCTTAATATATCACATTCATTCTCTGGATGCACAAATTATCACGGCACAAAACGAAAGTGGCACTAGGTGCTCTCTCTCACATACACACACATACTCGCACATTAGGCCGAACAACAAAATCGACGATAATATTCATGATTGAGAAAACACACAGCGAGAAAAAAAACATCTCGAAGTCTGAAGATCTAGCACGACTTTTGTGTATACTGACTGTGTTCTTGTTGTGTGTATGTCAAAAAATGGCACCGATTTTCATTGAAAAAACTGTTTTTAATCCCGATAAACACCTACACACTCAGATTTCGATGCATGAGGCATATATGCATGAGTTTAAATTGTATACGTCTCGTTTCCATCGAATTAATCTACACCAATTTATAATACGTAATATAGTCAACAGTGACAAAAAAATGAGAAAAATGTCTACGTGAAAAACTCGAGCAAAAAACGAATTGCTTGGGGCTAATTCATTGATCTGACTTTTTGCATGACCTGACTCCGTTATACACCTAATGTCTGTTTTGCATTCTCTTGAAAAATCGTCTTTCAAAAAAAGTAGAGATTCTTTTTTTTTTGTTTTTAGCAAATTTTGGCAGAGTTCGAAAAGTCGATTAACATTTTTTTAGCATTTGTCAATAATTTATTTGACTCCACACAAAACCCGCAATGAAAAAAGTCGACTTTGGCCACGAAAATATATGAAGAAATTTAATTGAATATCATTTACATTGACTTTTATTGAACATTAGATAAGTTAATTTTTAGTGAACACAAATTGGATGAAATTATGATCATTTCGTTCCTTTCTCTGAAAAACCTCAAGGGCCAATGTCATTTTCGGCTGATTTATCGCATTTAACTAGTTTATTTATATGTTTTCCTAATTGTTACAATATTATAAACAACACGTAGATAAAACGTAATCACGTCAAAGCGGCCGACTTGTCTATTAGTTATTTTGGCGTTTGCTACTTAGCGTGAATTTAAATTTATGTTTTTTTCCCAAATGAATTATTGGTCTGATGGTGAGACATTGAAATTTAATATAGATTAAAACATGTTCAAAAAGATATGATATCCTTTCATTGACATCGCGAGCAACACTTTTTTTTTAGTTTCTTACATGGGTTATGTTTCAAATTGAAATAAATACTTTGATGACAGAATTAAAATGACGTAATTGGTCATATGGTAAATTGAAGAAGAAAAAAATGTGAAAATAATTTTGTGGCAAAGATATGGTAAACTTACAGAATGCAATTGCTTTGGATCGGCATAGATACTTATCGGCTGCAAGCCATCCAATTCTAAGTTCGTTAACACTATTTCATGGGAATTGAGAAAAAAAATCAATTAAATTCTTGTATATGGTAAAAAGTCTTATACATTTTAGAATGAGATTTTTAATTAGCTATTGAATTTAAATAACAAAAGTCTCTCTTTAAAAGTGGAACGTCTTTGTCCATGCACTCGTTTTTATAATTACACGCCAGCAAATGTTTTTATCGATTGAAATTGAAATTTGTGAATGGGTTCACATCGTGAAGGGTTCACAAATATTTCGAAGGCAATAAATGCGGTATTTTTTTTTGTTTTGGGCATTTGGTTTGTGTGTGATTATAAAAACGAGGTAAACGCCCCCCAATAATAATAATGCAATTGCAAATGCTATATCTTGAGTCAAGTGCTTCCCGACGGCAAATTTATTAGAATAAGGTGTTTACTTACTTTTCATGTATTATGTGGTGTAATTCCTTTGACGATTACTTTATTACTCCTTCTTAACTCACTTTTTATCTATCGAGCTTAATTAATTGTATTTATATCTCACCACAAATCAAATTCAATTTCAAATTTTCCAGCAAAATTTCTTTAGCTATCAAAACAAAATACAGTGTCAATAACTTTGTTTCTACTTTAATTGTTTTTTGATAGCGTTTCCTTTTTCTAGTTTATTCTGATGCCTTTTAATATTATTATCGATAGAAAAAAAATCGCAATTTTGATTAAGACACTACAATCGTATAAAAAAGTGCGTTAAATTTGATTACTCTCTGCTTGTGATTAAAATGCCAGTGAGGTGTTAAATTTTGTCCTGATACGCCGTTTTTTTTTCTTCGCTCAAACAAACATACATATGACAATTTGATAGGACGTCGGTATTTTCGATTCGCTGTTGTCAGTGTGTGTCCTTTGCAAATTAATCGAAAATAAATTGTGTACGCAATAACATATTTATTCTGAGTGATCACATTGCTTATGCTGTCGTCACAAATTTGTTTCAATCAACAACTGCCGTTTATTAGCTCTATGTTTCTTTTTTGTTTCGCTTTTTCTCACACTGTTCGTTGTTGCTATTTTCTGACTCTTGTCACTTTTATTCTCTCATCGAAATGTTAAATGCGTTCAAGATACTGAAGATATTTCTACACTTTTGCGACTTTATTCCTACAAGTAATTCTGAATTATTCTAATTTACGCGTTATACTTAGTAGCATTTTTTTTACTTAACTCAAGCCATTGACAAATTGTTTCTTTTGCCGTAAAAATGCGTACGAAAATAATATGTTTACTATCAATATTCTAATCAACAAATTATAGCTATATTAACTGAACACTAATGTGAGCAACACAAAATTAAGTTTATTTATTTAAAAAAAAAAACAAATTAATCAGCCGACAATGTTGATATTTGGCATCTATTCCACTTCGTTGATTTTATTGCACTTGATTTTTGGTTTCAGTTTACCAAAAATAATAACATTTATCTTTTTTGTTGTTTGCAATATGTAAACGAAACACTTTTCTCTCTCTCTTTCGATTTGTGTGCAGCAAACGCATAAACGATGTTTATTGTTTGAAAATCGGTCTGTAACTAAACAGTTTGTTGTTTCTCACAAAGTTGATAAATTCAAATTGTGACACGGTTGCTGTTCCTTGTTGTGAACGATCAGTGTCGTTACTGGGTGATGCGCTACAACACGTTCGTACACATTTCATTCGGTCCGTCGTCGTTGTCGCGGTTCTCTCTCTCTCTCTATTGCTATTCCCTTCTCGCTTTCGGAATGTATGTTGAATGTGCACAACGACGGCTTATGTACAACGATCACACCCGCTTTCGCGCTAACAACTTGGGTTTGCTCAACAGCCAATTTAAATTGTATGTTTCGGCTGATTTTCTTCTGTCGTTTCGTTGGTGATGCCGTTTTGTGTGCTTTGAATACGCACACGAGAAACCTGCACATATACTACGAATGCGAGCGTAAGCATTCGGCACCACCTCACTCTTGATATACTGTTTGGTGAAATCTCATACCATGCAGAATCGATGCAAGCCACTGTTCTTCATTCAAATGGCTAACAAGGTAGACGCAACGACTTCATTTTAATTTGGGTTTTGTGGTACGTTCACGCACAGTTGACAAGCCATTTTTCAACAAAGTTTTGTGTCACCTCAGATTATTATGAATTATGATGAACACGTTTCATTTTTTATTTATGCACTATTTTCATCATCTTTTTCATTTGGAATTGAAAAGTGGTTTTCAAAAATACGAATGCATAATTCATCGCATTCTCGTTCCAAGTAAATTCAGAATGATGTTCCAAATTGAAATGTCGAAATATCACTCGAACCAATGCAGACAAAAAAACGGAATGTGGCAAATAGAAAATGAGGTCTATTTGCCGCATATTTCCATAACCCAATTTGAAGTGCTCGATCAATGGAATTATATTCAATTTTTTTTTTTGGCACAAACCAATTATGACGTCATTCTCTCATAACTAATCAGTTATATGGTTGTTATAAGTATACATTTTCTTAAATTGGGTGCATTTTTATTTTGCAATTTGACACCTTTTGTGCTGCGAATGAAGCATTGCCACTGTGCATTTTGTCAATGTGTTGCACACCATTGAAATATACAAAAAAAAGTGTAAAAAAGAAACAAACAATTATCGGCGTGTTACTGTACTCTCTCTTTACGTATATATTATGTGGTTATTTGGCGTTAATAATTTCAATTCATTTACTGTGTCTGTTAATGCTCATTTACAAAAATGTTTTATTTTTGTTGCTACTTGAACAGCTTTGTAAAAAAAGCCACCGCGAAAAAACAAATCTCAACATAAAAACAAACATGCTTTGCAAAAAGTGAAAACATTTCATTCGACAAAATAAAATGCATGGATTGCACTTCAACCAAAAAATGTGTTGCATTTTTTTTTGTTCTGGTTGAAATTTGCATTAGCAAAGCCATTGCGAGATTTTTGCAATTTTAACTTTTCACTCTCTCTCTCTCTCTCTCCCTCTTTCGTTCTCTTATGATTTTATTGTTGTTGTGGCAATTTTGACTGAATATAGCTTGTCTTTGTTTTAAAAAACCAACAAGATGAGGGTCATCACGTAGCTATAAACATACGAAAATTTGCTGTCTTTTGTATATTTTTTTTTTCTTTCAACTAAATCCTTCGAATTGTTTTGCGAATCTAGACAAGTACAAAACTAATTGTGTTAGAATGACTTTGAACAGATTCACAACATTCCGCATATTTTATCATATTGACTGTGGCCGATAATATAAACGATTAGAGATCTCAATTTAATTGAAAAAAATAATATCCTCTTTGGTATGATAAGGAAAGTAGAATTTATATAGTACGAATGTTCATTATTTTCGTCTTTCGATACCAATTTGATCGTTTTTCGTCTATTTACGAACAGATCAGTTCCCAGAAAACTTTTCATTTGAATGTTTTAAGATGAGTTTTTGGTTTTTGTTTCAGATATTGATTGTATTTTAAACATCGGTCGTACTTCCACAAGAATATGTTGAATTTGAATCTAAAAATATCTTTATTCAAACCAAAACGTTTTCATTGCATTCAATTGAGTTTTGGTTATGTTTGAAAGAATTTATATACAAGCAAATTATTGTTTGTACGAAATTTCATCAACAAATTGTCTCATGAATAACATTCTAACCGTTTCGTTGACACACAGTGATTTTAAATGGGCGCAACTCAAATAATGATTTAATGTAACGCAAGCACCTACAGTCAATTTTCATATATACACGAAAAGCATGTACTTAGATTAACGTAAACCAAACGCGTTATTCGTATGAATCACATAGCGAACATACATGCAATGAACTAGACAACGTAATAAAACTGGAGAAAATTGGGCGGAGCTTCACGACGTATACAGATAAGTATAGAGCAGACGATACGTTGAAATGTGGAGCGTATGTATTTTGTGTAAGATTGCATTTGTTTCAATATATGATTAACTAAATTTATATGGCGAAAACTGGTTTGGAGCTCAATCGTGCGTTAGCAAATGCCATTGCTTTATTTATGCTAGCAACGCCTTCGATTAGCTTAATGAACTACTCTTTTTTGTGAGGAATTTTTTTCGTAATTTATAAAAATAGTAAGTAAAAGGCATTCCTTATTATCAAGCATGCGCATAATTATGGTTTATAGCCTTTGGCGCTAAAATGATATGATTCTAATTTGGTATCTCTTTAAAAAGATTCATTGTGCCGAAAATATTCAATTTCTCGACGATCAGAATCGGGTCGCATTGAAATTCAATACGATAACAAAACCAGAATGTAGGTTATATGAATTTCATTTTTGTACTTTATAAATTTTGGTCCAATAATGCAGTTCGATTCTATTTGAGTCTAATTAGGTAGAATGGCCAAAGAAATTCTCAATTGATACGATTCCAACAAGTAGGATAAGCGAAATTTAATTACCGAACAATAGTCAAATCATGAACGCCCTTGGCAGACCTCATCAAAACAGTTTTACAGAGTATCAATAAAGGATCAACAGTTTGACTTTGGCACGTGCCGCAATGATGGTCTAATTAAAGGTGAAACGTAATCTGAATCCACGCAAGCTGACAACGCCATTGTAACTCAATCAGCCATTACTCCTTAAATCAACGAGTAAATTTATAGATGTATTTTTCTTCCTCTAATTCTTGGAACTGAATTTATGTTGAAATTAACTGTGTGAATTAACCAGTTTTTTGACTGAATACAGGAACTCCATATATGTGCATCGTAATTTTTTTCTTAATTGTAACTTTCGGAATTTTTTTTTCAAAAGAGTTGAAAATCTTTCTTCCAAGTAAAACAAGTGAAATTTCATAAGAAAAAAACATGTTTTTAGGGTTTACTACATTTTATCGTTTATCACACTTTTGTTTAGGTTTATTACAAAAGCCAGAGACCATTTCTCAGAGATAAATTGATTGTCCGAGAATGAATGTGAGACTTCTCCTGAGAGTTTATTGAAATGTAACACCGTCATACAAAAAATGCTGACTGTCAGCAATTTTTGTATGGCGGTGTTACATTTCAATAAACTCTCAGGAGAAGTCTCACATTCATTCTCGGACATTCAATTCATAATTAATAATATTATGATGTTAGTTCTTGTTTAACTTTTAATCATTTGTTCCTCACTGAGGGGATCTCTACTCCTCAGTGCTCTTTCGGCTCTTCTTAGCGCTCTTCCACTGCTCTGAGAAACAGTCTCTGATAAAAGTTGGCTAATATGATATAATTTTCAAAAGTTTCCCAAACACTGCTTCATATATGCACTGTAATAAACTAATTTTCAAGTGTATATTTGAATCTTATCCTATTTTCGACTTTGGGCTTGATCTTTACACGATATTGAATCGTAAGATTTTGTTTTCAAACTCAATTTCCAAGAATCGCTAATCTTCAATACGTTCGAAGTAAAAACAAACCCATAAATTTTGAATTTAATTGATTCAATTAGCTAATAAATTTAAACCTTGTTGCATATGGAGCTCAATTGCAATAAAGTGAACAATTTAAGAAAGCACATTCGTAAAAAGTGAAGAAAAAACATACTTCAATTCAAAATTCAGTCCAATTGAATGTGAGAAATACACTCTTATTCAAATAGTATGTTTTAAAATTCAATTCAGAATATAAAATAAGTTTAATTTGATACGCAGCAAGTAATGACATCTATTTGTCACAATAATAAATGAAATTGTAATTGAATGGAACCGAAATACAAAAGAGTAATGCAATTTATAAAGATATAATAAATTTCTATTGGCATAATTCATTATTTTAAAAAATGGAAATCGCAAATTGTCACAAATAATCTAAAAAATAAAAAAAAATAAACAGAAACTGTCCAAGAAAATTTGAAAATGAAATAAAATGAGGTGTCTCCATTCAGAATCTTAACATCAAACAATACCAGAACTTGCGCATGTTTCAAAATGTCAAGAACATTTTAATAGATATGAGTGAATGAATTGAATGTCCATTTTTATATGTATTCAAATGTTTTTTTTATTTGCGTATTCTATTTAAATTCGGCCCATCTATCCAGATTTTAAACGGTCAATTAGAATATTTCGATGAATCGAGTAAATTTGACATATGTGGAGCAGGCAAACCGTAACCGACACATATGCGTGCACTTTAATATTGTTGCATCTATATGTGTGTGTGTTGGTTCCAATATCATGTGCGTTTCTATTTACTGTCATATGGTCATGAATGTGTGCGTATCTCACTGGCAATATGAGAAACAACACATCACCACTACATACAAGTCATTTCTATTTGCTTTGTGCTACGCTCAGTTCTCTTTCAATATTTTGAGTCGACATAAGTTTTTCATTCACTAGAGCCATTTATGTTCGAAAGCAATGAATTGTGTCGTTTAAATTGGATGTGAAAAATATATCACATCAGAATAAAAAAATAACCAGAAATTGGCTGTTTCGCAACATTGTGAGAAGTGAAACGTTTGATTAAAAATAAAGTAAACAAGCAACGAATGAAAAGAAAAAGATTGTATGGTACGTGCATAGTGAAAGTTGAAAAATTGTGACAAAAAAGGTTCTCTATGATACGGTGAACAATATTGTGAATTCTTTTTGGATAGTACAATTTCAAGCAGTCAAAAATGGCAGAAAATCGTGATTATTCCGTGAAATGTGTTAATCAATTTGTTTAAAAAGGTATTAAACAGAATTGTGTTAATTTTTTTCTATGTAAAAAATACTTGAGTACCATTTCTCTTGCTTTTGTTTGATTGGCATGAAACAATAGCTTCACGAAGCATTTGTCGTTGACAAATCTTTATTTGTTTTCTATCAAATTGGAACGCGAATTTGCGATATATCATATAATGTACATGGAACACAAAAAACTGACTCGTTTTTGTGATATTTTGTCATTTATCCTTCCATTTATCGCATTAAATTCAAACCATTTTTTATGTCATTGACATTTGATACATCCACATGCTTTACTCATTGAAACTCTTTGTCTCTCTTTGTCATTCCGTGTCGCTTTGATACTGTAAAAACTATTAATGCTGAAGATATCAACAAATGAAACAACAAAAAATACATTTGTATCAGAATTGAATGCTCATCATTTTGTTATTAATAGACCAACCAAGTAAATAAACTGAATTCAAACATACATAGCAGCTATACAAGTCAATTGTGCTGATTATGTAAGACATTTTGCTCAGTTGCTGCTTCTGTCATTCAAGTTCATAATTTCTTTTTCAATGTTTTCTTCATGACGAATGATTTAAATGCCAATGCAATGCCAAGAAGCTTAGAACGAAACACATTTGCTTCAGAAACATCGAACCGACAACTGTTATTCAGTTCATAGGCTGCAACTTTTTTTTGCTTTTGCATTAGTCCGCACTCTTTTTCTCGGCCAAATAAATAAAATTTGCATTAATATATGAGAGACAAATGTTATAAATGAAACAAACACATGGTCAAAATGTAATTTTATAATTTATTTTTATGAAAAAATGTGTGGTAACGATATCAATCCCTCATTATATACTTGAATGTATCAACATTTCTGTTTCAAGAGACTTTATACACCGCAATTGATAGAATTTAAAACACAAAAAATTGCTAGGCAATACAAAATATACCAAATCAAAATGAGATGAGTGCCATAAAAATTTCGCCCCGATCGTCCAATAATTTAATTCGTAACATTTGCTTAATTTCAAATAATTTACTCTGAGAACAAAGAATTCACGTAAGTATGTGTCAAACTTCAATAGATAAAAATTTCTTAAAAGTCATTTAATTAGCATTCACGCGCATTAAACTCCTTTGTTAGTTCCATGCAATGACGGAAGTAATAGCACACGGAAAGATTAAAGCGAATTCATTCGTCGATTTTACTTCACCAAATAATTACTTTTTCAATTATTACAGCTGCTTCATGAATTCTACTAAAATATATCATTCAAGTAGATATCTTTCAAGTTTTATTATCAAAATAGTGGTATATAAATAGAAATTTAGCTTGAAGATAAGTGATTGAAATTTTATGCGCTACGAAACGCTTTGATGAAACGTTTGGAACGGTGCAAGTACAAAAACACAGTTTTTTTTCTCTTGACGAACATATTCAACTCGTTGGTAATTACATGAGACGTGGATAAACAATCATAAAATCAATAATTGTTGACAAAACAAAACAGGAAAAGACACAGGTGCTTTATTTCTCTTCTTGCTCATTTGTGGCATACTTTTTCTTGGTGTACTACGTACAGAGCATAGAATCAAATGAAATAAAAAAGTTGATAGTCTTTGTTGCGCCAATACTACAGATACTATCGTAATTTCATTAAGATAAGCAAAAATTAGCGTGAGAAAGAAAGAGAGAGAGAGGAAAAGCAGAGAAAAGCTAAAACTCTCAAACCAAATCTATCCATCGTTAATGGCATACATATTTCACTGTTTGGCGATGGAAACAGTATCACAATACCGTGTCTGTCTTCACCCGTTCTTGTATCCTTTGCACGCCATTCTCACGTGGAGAATATTCAGCGGCAAACAAAGTACATTTTCAATGGCATTTTTCCGATACACAAACACTTGCAGGCACGAACACAATTATCTATATGTATGAATTGTGTTAATGTGTGCTATTGCACACCGTTCTTATGATACTCTTATATAAATCGTCAATGTACTATTTATATACGTTTCGCACACTCGCCACCAGTTCAGTTTTGCTTTAGTAAACAACACTCTTAATTGATTTAAAACAAACAAAGTGTTGACTTTTTTCTCTTCTTCGGAGCAGAAATGCATTATGTGTTCGATGTACAAACGAGAGTATTTTTATTTAAATGTATTGCATTACATAAATTATTTGTGTTCATTGTATTTATTATACAAATATGCACGCATGACATACATTCACGATCCATCTCTCTAATGGGAAATTCACTTATAAATCGCGATGCCATTTTAACGGCAAAACAAATAACAATTGGAACAATTAGGACAATCAATCGATACCGCCAACACAAAACTTCATTCTGTGCGTATATCATTTTCGCCATTTTGAATTTTCATTTGTTGTGCAAACTCATTCATCAAATCTCTGTCTATTTTCAAATGAGTTTTGTGTTGAAAATGTGTTTGTATCCAATTTTAAAACGAGAGACTTTAACTTTGAGATGATGTCATAACAAGTTGTTGTTGACAATTATTATTAACATCGAAATAAGCTGAAAAACACGAACGTTCAATTCAAAAGGTCTGAAATTAATGACAATATAAAAAAATATACAAAAAAAAACATGCTTCAGTAGAAAATTTTGCGGTATCATAGCAACTTTCTAAGATTATAAAATCAACGAGATATATTTGCTAATGTGCTCTTCTTCAATTCCAAACCCAAAATCACTTTCTTTTCTTTGGATAATAAGCAATATAAGTATTTGTTCATGTTGTAGTATTTCATTTAATGTTTTTCTTTTATTTATTTTTAGTGTGTGTTTCAATTGTACATCAAACCGCAAAAAAAGTGCAAAAGAGACCAAAGCCGAATCAACTTGTTCGGCCTCCATCAATATTCATCATCAATGATTTGTTTACATGCAATTGATACGACCAAAAGTCTTGCTTTTGAACAATTACCAAAATTATGGATAAAATGGCTCGCTGGCGGCATAAGAACGTGTTCCTGATACTGATAATTACTACGTGCTTCATTTCGGCGACCGGAAAGCATAATGATGAAATTAAGGAAATCAAATGTTGTAACGATAATGACAAAAGCAGTGAATATGTAATCAACGGCGACGACAATGACAACATAAGTATTAGCAGAAATAACGAAAGTGATAATGCCGAAAGGCGAACCAAATCTTTTGATTTATCATTTGTATTGGATCGCTATCGTATCGATGAAACGATACCAAAGCCCACATCATCATGTATACGTATTATGTTCGGATCACTTTTGACAGCAGCTCGGACTAAGTCGCTGTCAGCCTTAGATGCAAATCAAAATGTGGAAAGCTCAAACACAGCAGACGACAATTATCATCGATATCATGACTATGTAGTATACTGTAATAGTACGACCATTGACACTTTTATATCAAAGTCAAGTGGCAATAGAATCGCAACGAATGGACAATTAAGCGATAATGGTGACCATTCAACGTTCAATAATGGTGACATGCTTAGCGGAATCATTCTGATGAATGTCCCATTCAGCGGTGACAGTATCCATAGCAATCCGGTCACTAAATGGCAAATAACCAGAAATAATGTAAATATTCCTAGAAATCAATTAATAAATGCAACGATTTATTTGTCATGGACAAATAGCCATTTGAACAGTGAGTCTTTCCGTGGATTGCCGGCAACATTCGATCGTTTAACACACTTAGATGTTAGCGATAATGATATAAAGAATTTAACATGGGATATGTTTGATCGCTTTCCACAACTGAAATCGTTGAATCTCTCACAGAATGCCATCAGCAATGAAACCATTCATCAACTGTTTTTTCACCGCTTTAGACAATTACAACACTTAGATTTAAGCAACAATAAATTCATGTCAATTGTATATGAGAGACTGTACGGGTCGGCGTCTGACATGCCGATGGATGATGTCAATTCCAATAGTCTTAAAAAGTTTGCCTTACCAATGGGTGAATCATCAGAGCCAATTGTGTTACACCAACACGATGGCATATTTGCCGATATGCCGGAGTTACGGGAACTAATTTTGAGCAACAATCAAATTATTGATCTTCCACGGAATACATTCACAACTAATGGATTACCAAAATTACACTATCTTAATTTAGCTTACAACAATCTGTCGATAATACCATTTCAAATATTCCAATCGCTTACCGCACTACAAACATTGGATTTATCGAACAATCGTTTAGTGACTTTCCTTGATAATTTTTTTATCGATAATAAAGCGCTTATTATGCTAAATGTACACAACAATACCATTGAGAGAGTGCTAAAAAATTCACTGCAAGGTTTACACAATTTGATTGAGTTGGATTTATCGGATAATCAAATCATAAACATTGATCGAAATGCATTCGATAGTTTGATAGCATTGCAACGATTGAATTTATGCGGAAACAATTTAACCGTATTGCCAACGACTCTATTTCATCATTTGGCGCAACTCAAGTATCTCAATTTAAGCCGAAATAAATTCAAAATCCTTCAAAATGGTCTGTTTGCGTATCAATTTGCACTGGAACATTTGATCATCGAAGAAACACCATTGCAAAAGCTTAACAATTGGGTGTCACGAAAATCGGATGAAGTGAAAAAGGATATATTGAAACGATTACGTGTAATTTCATTGCGAAAAAATCCACATTTACGTGAAATTGATGCGATAACATTTCGCAGTTTGCCGGCCGTTGAGTATTTATATTTATCCGAAAATAGTCTTGTTCTATTGCCACATGAAATTGGTGAATTGACTGAATTGAAGCATTTGGATGTAAGTAAAAATGATCTCATATCGTTGCCAAGGCAATTGAATACTCTACAACATTTGGATACAATTAATATGCTGGGTAATCAATTTGAATGTGATTGTCAAATGGTTTGGCTCACAGCATGGATGAATGACACACGAAATCGTGTAGACAATTTTACATTTATCGAACAACGAGCACCATTCAATCAATTATCAAAACTGAAATGTCGTCATGGATATCCCGGCGATTTAATACGTGTACTCCAACAGTTACATTGTTTTAAACCAACGGCCGTTCATGTGTCAGAGAGTAAAACTTATCTGCTTCGCAGCGATGCACAATTGGAGTGTGCGTTTAGCGGAAATCCAACTCCGGACATCATTTGGGTCACACCACTCAACAAAATCATTCGTTACTATGCCGATCCAGATGTGAAACCATTACCACTGGCATATAACAAACGCTTGGCGAATAGCAGTCACAACAACGATCAAATAAATGCCGATTTAGATCATCAGGCGAAAAATCGCGAGAAAATGGAACATCAAATGCTGAAACATAAATTCGATCGATTTACAACACCAATCGGAACCAATGAGGTGACTCTGTTAGAAAATGGTTCGCTTCGTATTCACAATATTTCACGGAAGGACAGCGGTTTGTATGTTTGCTACGGGTACAACAGCATGGGATATAAATCGGCTGAAATCAGGTAAATAATGACCAATCAATTGCATATGCATTTTACATATTGACATTTTAAGTATTTCAAATGTCGATTGTTGATTAACCTTAACTCGACTCAATTCGATTCATGACGTTCCTTATTTTATCGTCAAACTTATTTTCCAATTTTATTTTTTCATAGGCTCTTTATCGATCCCATCGTATTCTATCGAGTGAAAATCGCTAGCATTATAGTCGGTTTATTGAGTGCTTTATCGTTCTTGATATTGACATTGATTGTGCAGGCTATTCGGCGTTGTTTCATTAGGTATGTAAACGAAAATGGAAATTGTTTACAAATCAATATTTCATTACATTTGATTCACATACAATGACGCACGCAAAAAGTGCACAATTTCGACATTTCTTCTACTATATTGTTTTTGTTTTTCTTTATCATTTTTCGCAGATTTAATATTGTCAATAAAATTGCGATGAATTGTTGTACATGTTGTTTGCGTAAGAAACCCAGAGCCAAGCATATTATGCAAATGCTCGACAGCATCGAACACTACAAAAGCCAACAACTGGAACGCCTACGTGAAAATTATACACAGCAAGTGAGTTTCGCCAATCGATTTTTATATATATCTTTTTTTGAACACTAACAATACGTAGAAGTGTCTCTGTTCCAATACCTCTTGACAAACATCTGCATTGCTGTTCGAATGATATACAAATATTTCAAACAAAAGTAAATCTTTTCAATTTAAATTGCTCATCTGTCTGTCTGAAGGTTCATCGGATCAAAGAAAATTGTGCGCAACAAGTCGAATGGATTCAGGGCTCGTACACAAGTCAAACAAAGCACCTAAGAGAAGTTGGCTCGCATGGAATTACCGCAGTTGCCGACACTTACCATGACCAGGTAAAGCCATTTCCATCATACATATCTAAAATTCGCATGAAAAAATAATGACGATTTTTTTTTTCGTTTCTCAGTTGCGTCGTGTTCGAGATTATTCAACCGGTCAATTGAATTGGGTTCGGGAAAATTATGTTTTTCAACGCAATAAAATTCGAAAATTCAGCGCACATCAAGTGTTAAGAATTCGTGAAGGCTACAAATATCAACAGCAAACACTTAACAAAGTTTTGGAGAACCTTCCATCTTTCTATTTTGAAAATTGCCGTGGGCGAGCTGATGAAAATATGGAAGAAGGTAACATTCGTTTGATAATTTTCCATCTCGCTTATATAAAGATTACAACATCTCATGTGAAAATTTTATGCTTTGAATCCTTGTCGTTATATATTACACACATAAAACATTAATTATTTTCCTTTTGTTGCGCACACTCAATTCAAAAAGGTTATGTTAGTGGTTCACCAACCACTGACATAATAGCATTAATTCATTATTTAAAAATTGATGAAAATCCATCATTCGTTGTGGTGCATTGCTTTTCTCTCGTATATTAAAATTGTATCTTTTTATAAATGACATTTTCGTATCTCAAACCGAAAATTAATTGTTTTGTTTGCAATTTTCTTTGTTTTATCACAAAATGCTTTCAATGTCAAAAACAAACTTATTGAGTAGACATTCTGAGGAGGTTCGACTTGACAACAGGTATGGACATTCAATGAAATGTTTGAGGAAAAAAAACGTCTGTCTTTCCGTTCAAATGTATATTACCGTATTATTAAGTTATTAAGTTAAAGGTCAAAACAATTTGTATAAATTGGCATAGAATATTTTCTTGTTTAAATAATGTGAAGCTTGATGTTCAAAATAAATGAATTGTTTGCTTTTTTTTAAATTAGTTTAAGGACATTTTTTGTCATTTAGTCATCCATTCTAATTGTTTTTTGCATCGGTTTTTTGTTTACAGATTTTGAAGTGTATCTAAAAACAAAAATTGCTGAAGTGCATCACGATCCAAATGATGAAGGCACCAGTTGTTACAGTGATCCAAATGGATTATCTCAAACAATATCAACTAGACCAATCTATCATCCAATTGATCGACGTAGTCTAACGAACAATGTGCAAACAAATGAAAGCAAAGCATCTGTTTATTATACACCGAGTGATTCCGCAGATCAGACGCAATTGCAATTGTCTCCATTGCATATTAATATAATAGAAGAAAATTTGAATACATTTCCCGATTTTTTGAAGCCATCAGAGTCAGAGTGTAAATTTAATTTCGATATGAATCGCTTTGAGGCAAATCTACAACTGGAGATCGATCATCGACGTCGCCAACACAATATCTATTCAGAAGACGACGATGATGACGACGAAACAATTGTAATTAATTCGGAAAAAACAAAAATGCTAAATTGTAACGATGCAAACATTGATGATATGGCAAGTAATTCAACTGAAGGATACATTCGACTCAATACATTACCCAAACGCAATAAATATAAACGAGCGCCAAGTAGCCGAGATTTTTACTATTCATTGGAGAATGTGTTCGATGCCAAAATGGCAGATGATAGTGGTCGCTATCAAATGCATTTATCAAATAAAACCATCGATGAAGCTTCTTGTGAAGACACTCAACTTACAAGTTCAGCATCAGACAATAATTACAGCTCGAGCGAAATCAACCGTTCGAATCCAACAAACGGTGAAAGTTCCGATGATAATCGAACCAAACCATCAAAATCGGTTCTTTTGCTAAACGAAGGAAGCTATAACGGTGAAATTCAATTTAGCAATAGCATGCCAAATATTAACAGCAATTCGGAACATTTAACCAAAGAACTAAACAATGATGATGCCGAACATACTCTAGTTAATAAAAATGATTCTCAATTGGATCGTATGCTTCCCATTTGAAAACGCCACCAATACAGACTGAGTGACATAACCGGTATATGAATGAAAACGAAGCGGTGTGTTGAATTAAAACTGATCTTTTTGTTCTGTTTCTATTTGGTTTTTGTTAAAGTTGAACAAAGAAAAACGAAAGTTTCAATCTTCAATTAATTTAAATATGAATACGAGGTGAAAGACTGTGAAAAACGAACAGGAAAGAATCTTTGGCTACAACAAACAAGTGTAACATATCCCAGCGTTTCCTTAACAGAGAATATACATTTTTATTGTCAATTTATTTACTTCTTTTCAAGTTGAATCAATTTATTATTATTAATATTACTTTTGAACATTCATATGCAACGGCGTTGGGGGGTTTAAATGCCACCGATCCATTGATCTAAATAGGAGAATTCGTAGAGTGGTGATAGAAAATGGTACGACTATGTGTTTCATACTACTCTTTTTTAAGATAACCGAATTTATTTTTCGAAAAAAATGAGAAGAAAACTGAACAAAAAAAAAACTAAATAACATTAAATTTGACTTACATACGTGAATGAATGTCATTTGGGCCAATGAAGAAAGTAAACTCATTTGATTGAATATTAAGGCCTAGTATATTTTGACTATGACTTCTATGCGATCATGTGTGTTCTCTGTATCGCAAATATATTTAGTTTAAATTTATTTATTTGAATTATGATTGTAAAAAATGTGTATTAAGCCAATCATACCATACCTATTAATATATATAAAAAAGAACAAAATAAACTCCTCATTTATTTACCTGATAAGCATTTAAAATCAATCAACAAAAAATTAATTATTGAGCACTATACATTGAACAAAATGACAAAAATTCGACAAAGCAAGCTAGTAGATAATTTTTTTCTTTTTTTTGAAGAAAATAATATAATACTTGTTTTACGATTTATCGGCAATTTGATTCAGCACAATGTTAGTTACACGTGGATAAAGTTCATGTTCTTATGAAAAAAATTCAATTTGATTTGTAGTGATGTGTTAAATTTACCTTCATTAAATATTATCTTTTTATGTTCTATCTCGTGATAATCTTTTGACAAATATATATTGTTAGTTCCCACAAGTAAAAAATTGAATTTTATAGATGTATTACTTCAAGCAAAAGCAAAAACTGTTCTAAAATCACTAAATAAATATTGCAAGTCAAAAATCAAAAACAAAATGTGATTTGATTATTTTCTTTATAGTATTTGGTGCGATCTCTTGAAAAAGGTCTGTTTTCAAAAGAATTCTTCTACAAGAAGTAAAGCAAACACATCTCTATCGACTTGGATAAACAAGATGCTCAACTTACCATTTGGCGTTATCTGCTTCCATCGCTTAATTGATGTCAATCAGACATTATATTGAGATATTATCAGCTGAATCAGCTGCTATCGCCAGGAACTGAAATTGAGTCAAAATAATGGCAGTTTTTATAACTATAACAAACACTTCTATTGTTGTCGCTACCTTTCAGCGCCTGACGTCAGTTGCTTGAGCTGACTTAAAATATCTCAATATAATGTCTGATATCAATTCTTAAGTAAGTAATTATTGATTGTAAAGTGTTCTTTTTTTTGTTTTAAAAAAATCATATAGTTTATTTATCGCATCTCGTAAAGTATTATTTTTGTTTAACAAATAAATTCAATAAAATAAAATAAAATTAAATTATTTTTTGTTCATATTTTATTTGTTGTTTTTGCATTTGTCTTGTTTCTGTTCTTATAATAATTGTGTGTGTGTTTTTATAGCATTTCTTCCATTTGTTTTGGATATAGGAAATTAACTTTTAGAATGCATTGAAAAAAGTTTGCTTTCAGTTTCTTTGCGTTTTGCTGCACCTAGAATTTAATTTTTTCTAATGCCTACTGAAAAAAAAATCGTTGTGTGCATAAAAAAATTGTATAATAAAAAATAAGTACTGGTTAAAGTTGCTGTTCATGAAATTACAATAAATAATAATACAAATTAATATATAATGTTAAAAGAGGGTGACAGTAAATTAGGAAACGAAGAAGAAGTAGAAAAAAAATGATAATTTTAAAAACTAAGTGTTGTGTGTTATAAAAGATATAAATTAATGAATTGATAAATTAAATACATACAAAAATACAACATTAAGTATAAAACTGGTAAGAAGCGATGCCAAACAATGTGAGGCTTTGGCCGCATTACGACAAAACAAAAAATTTATCGAAACATTTACATCATTTTTTTGAGAAGAAAAAAAAATTTAATGTGTGAATGCGGGAGACTATTTGTTTCCATCTTTTGATTTCTTCGTTCTATATTTTTGCTGGTGCAATACTAAATCATAATTTAAAAAAAAAATGGTTAGACATAGTTGAAAATTCAACAAAATTTGTGCATTTTTATGGTGAGTCATTAAAAAACTATGTAAGCTTTACGAAAACTAGCGATCGAAATCTTTTCTTTTTTTCATCAGTTGCCTTAAAACGGAAGGTAGTTTGAATAACATAAAATATAGCGGTAAATAGATATATATATAATTGTTTTTGTTTCGCATTGGTTTCATTTTTCACCCATTCTCATGATAGAAAAAAATGTGAGCATTTTGTATAGTTAGTGCTGTAACAATTCAACGGAATCATTGGCTATTGCCTCAATTTCAGGTGGCACACCGCACAATTGGGTTGTCCTGAACAACTCGTTCATCTTTGCTTTTTTCATCAAACACATTTTCTTTTTAAATATAATAAGTTTATATATAATAAAATATTCGAGTGTGGGTGTGTGTAACCTATCAACACAGAAATAGATGAAAAATCGAATTTATCATTCGAACATAGCACTGGCATTTATTTTGGACAAACAATATGGTTCAATAAGCCATATTTCAAACGAATCGCGCATTGTTTCAAATTACAAACGATTTTTGCTCATATTTCCGTATCTGGATAATATCATTGCGAAGTGTGTGGTGTTAATTTGATAAAAAAATATTCCTTCAGTTTTTGTAATCTGTTTTTTTTCTCGTCATACTTCATCCCACTAAATACTAAATTCCAAATCATCATTAAGATCATAACCGTAACTATAATTATTATTTTTTTTCTTTTTTGTTTGCAATAGGCTATGTTTGTATACTAAAAGGAAGTTATCGATTGAAAAAATACTGTTATTCTCTTAGCTGGTTTTTTTCTTCATCCTTTGATAAAAAAAAATTAATATCCATATTTGTGACCATTTTAATCACATTTTTTTCGTCGAAAACTGTACGTTTCTTTTTTCTCGAAAATGAACGATTTTTGTTTGCTTATTTAATAAAAAATATTTTATCAAAAAATAATATTTTCGCCAATTTTTGATCGATGCACAACAATGAATTTTGAACAATTTTTTTTGACCGAATTTTGGTCCACATATCATGGATTATTTATTGAGCGTCGTTTCCTTCCAATTCGCTTGTCTTTCAATGGTTAATCTTGCGGTAACAAATTTCCCTTTTTTTATTTCATACATTTGGAATAAAATCCCAAAAAATTATTAATTTTTTTTCTTCAATTCAATCACTTGTTTTTGCTCAAATGTTTTTCATCTTATTTTTTACAAACTTACAAATATAATCTTAGCTTGAAAAATAGAGTAAGTAGCTTCATAAAACTTTAAAATGATCGAATCTTCACTTCTTAACGCCAATGACGTTTGTAAGCGTGTGTTTGTGTGCTTGCCATAAGAATAAATATAACTTGGAGCATTGGTTAAGAACAAAATGAACAAAATATAAAAAAAAATTACTATCGCGTTTTATAGCTGCCACTCGTATGGTATTCTTTTCAATTTAAATTTAATTGAATGCGGTAATTTTGAAGGAAAAAAATCATACTCTAAACCTAAATTAGATTACGATGTAAAAAGTAACTCTAAAATTGTTAATCATAATAATAATTTATTGCTTAAAATAGCTTTTGTTACGAGAATGCTTAAAAATTAAAATATATATATAAAAAAAACAGAGCGCGAAAAAGGCGACGATGAACATTCTACGAAGGAAGAATATTGAGTATTTTCTTTTTCTTCATTGATCAGAAATGGGGCATGCATTTTTCGAAACAAATTCACAAAGTGCGAGAAAATGCTTATTTTTGAAAATATCCGTATACTTTGATGATAATCGTACAATGTATACTATGTGTCATGAGGGCCAAATATCAAACAAACATAGAGTCTCGAAGAAATGTTACAATAAATGTTTAAAAAAGCAGTTCGAATGATCATTTAAAAGATAAGTACGCAAACGAGAATTAGTAATAAATAAATAGGTAATTGAAATTGCGATGGGCGGCACAATACTATGAATCTCTTCATACTGAATTAGACTGAGTATTTGATAAGAAAGAGAGATAATGTTAGGAATAAAGAGATTCGTTTCAATCTCAACCTCTCATTTAATTGCTTGCATTCGAAACCGTGTACCGTTCTTAAAATTGGAAAACCGTTCTATACAAATGTTTAAGAAGAAGACTAAGGTGTTCTCATTCTATTTTAGATATTGTGGAATATTATTTGCTAAACCATGTTCGAAAACCTATTGTTTTTTGAAAAATGATGTAAGATGTGCAATGAAACTTGAACAGCTACTTAAATTTTTGTCTTTATTTATATCACGTCTAAAGTGGTTTTCAATTTTTTGTCGATCAGAACTGGGCTAGCGAGATTTGTTTGTTTTAAAAAATAGTTATTCTCTTCTTGTTTGAATTGTTTTTTTTTGTATATATTAAAAGTGTTGTTTCTATTTATTTCAATTAAGATGAAAAGAAGACAATTGAAAGAAAAAATCGAGATGCGCTCACTCAGAGAAAAAAATCTTTATATATCTATGTATGATTCGTTGATTCATCGATTTAATAAATTTCTAGTGCATTTTTTTTGTCTCTTTCAATTAGTTGAAGCGTAATGTGATTTCAAAACCGTACATTTTAATCATCATTAATTTATTGATTATGCGAAAAAATACGCATTACACTCTTTCGAACTATCTAAATATAGTTTATTTGTTTGTTTTATTTTGAAATTGATAGTTAATTTCCGATGCTAATTGCTTTATCAAAATCGAATGGAAAACTGAAAAAACACTCAAACGTCAAATCAAAACCGTATATTGTATAGTCGAAAAAATCGATGTTCTTCCGTTAATTGCTAATTATTAGTTGATCTATTTGCAGTTTGTTTAAATGTATTTTTTTTCAGCTGCTTTCTAGCTGCCCAAATTTCTTTAGTTTATATAAAATGGAAAGAGGAAAGGACAAGTGAAAATTGGAGCATTATGGTTCAAAACGATCGTATTTTTTTAAAATGTTTTTATCGATTAAATTTCTTTGCTTTCATTCTATTTAGTTAATAACTATATGCGATTTTCAAAAATAGATGATTGGAATTGTAAAATGGTTGAGCTATTTTTTTTTGTTGTTGTTGTTTATTTTTATGTGATTGAGATTTCATAAAATGTCAATTGTCATCATTTGTCATATAGTAATTTTTTTTTAAATCGATAATTTGTTCAGTGTATATTTTAACAGTCTAACATTCAAATCGTTATAATAATTAGTTTCAAAATCAAATTCTATCACATTTTTGTCGCCATATTATTTTTTTTTCCCACTTCGATACGTTTTCTTTGTGTTCTAGTTTATTTCGAATCATTGAAAATTGAATAACTTCTAACAAATGTACAAGTATTTAACTGGAGGCAAGATTATTATTAGAATTCATTTGCGTAAATTGTGTTTGGAAAAAATTGTCATATAAAAAAGAAGCAAACACAAAACGTTGATATATGATAATCAAATGGTATGATTTTTTTTTGATTAAATGGAAGAAATCTGTCGATTTTTCTCGCAAGATTTGAGCGTCAAAATTTATGTTCGTTATTATTAATTTGTAGGCAAAAGCTTGATTATTATATTATTATTATTTTTTTTTTGACAAATTTACATATCATTTTCGTTCAAACAAAATATGTTTATAGCCACATTTCGAATTTCGTTTTGTGTTTTTGGCTTATTTGATATTTTTCCAATATTTTCGATGTTTGTTTAATTTCAAAAGTACTTATTCAAGTTTAAAAAATGTGTGTGTTTTTTTATGTTGAAAAATAAAGCACTAGATAACACATATTTTTAATCCATCGTTTTCTTCTTTTTTTAATACATTTTCCATTTTTTATGTGTTGATTGTTTTCCAATGTTTTTGTTGCAATTTTCATTTTAATTGTTATGTAACTACTTCAATTTAAATTTATATCTTTGCCCGACGTTCTCTATAATCAAAACAATCAACTGGTTAAATGTGATGTTAAAATTCAATGTCAAACACAAGCGAGTCAATGTCAAACACACATTTCGAGTGGATTAGATTGGACGTATCAATTCACTAGAGTTCACCGTTAAAAACGACTAAACACCAATTTCACAACGAGACCGCTCAGAGCTTGGAACATAGAATAATAACATTTTTCCCTATGAATCTAATTTTTGGGACATTGAAACGAAAAAAAAATACGAACAAAAGAACCATTTTAACGATAATGAAATTCAGACAAATCACGCGTTCATACAAAATAAATGGTCTTTTAACTTGATTAAATGTGTGAAAGTGATATAAGATATCTAGCACTTGTACTGAATGCATACTCATGACAACTGACTCCATTTTTGATCTCTAAATCTTGAATATTATCCCTTTTACATACATTGTTTGCGATTCATGTTTAACTCAGTATCTGCCATACGATATATACATTGATCATAATATTTCACTGTTCAGTTTTTCTCCAAATTTAGAATGTCATCCTACGGTTTACATTTGCAAAAACTACAATACTTCGAAGATTAGCTTCTGCGATCGCGTTTTTCTTTTATTTTTCTCGCGCGTTTTTTTTTCTCTAAATAGTAGTAGTAGTAGTAGTAATAGTTGTTGTAGTAGTAGTAGTAGAAGTAGTAACTATGCGTATAATTTAAAACTCTTTTTTTAATATTAATAATAAGTAAATATTAAACTTTGTGTTATAATTATTATTTAAAAAAAATTATTGGTTTTAATGGAGATTCTTTGTTCATCTGTGTGTAAGTGTTTAATTGTATTTGTAAATTTAAATGTTTTGTATCTCTTTTTTTCTTGTGTGTCTATGTGTTTGTGTTATATTTCACGATATATTTCTTTTTAGTAAAAATTAGAAACAAAATTTGTGTTTAGCTGCTCGTGAGCCGTCTACTTTCATTCATCTCTGCATTTGAAACAAAACACATGCTTCTGAGCATTCACGTTGTCAATTTTAAAATTGACACATTGGTTAGAGTGTGTATTAATCTTGTGTTTTTTTCAAACGCTTTCTATTCCTTTGCAAAATTTCATTATCCATTATTTTGTTTTGTACATCAAAACGAGCATTTTATTCGGAACTTAACGCAGAGATATGCGACATTTAGTAAGGTTTTCGTTTCCTACATAATTTTGGTTTGATTCACAAGGAACCGTAATCCTACTAATCGAAAAATGAGAATCAACATGTTGCTGCAATTACTATTAATATTATTTGTTTTCGTCCATTTTTTTCGTATTTGGTTAAATTTACATACCCAAATGGTTTCCATTTTGAAAAAAATAAACTGAAATTTCGTGTAATAACCCTCGAACTTATACATCGAATAGAATTGAAACAGATTAAATGAAAACAACTTGAAGAAGGCTATTCTGGTGAATGTTGTTTGTGGCTTTTTGTGTTGTTGGTGTCTTTGTTGTTGGTTTTGCTTTTCTTTTTATGCATTTTATTGCATTGGATGATTTTGAAAATAGATGACTTCATTCAGCGAACTGTGTGGCTACCAAATTCAGAGGTAGATTTGTTGAATCTGCATCATTTTCATCTTCATCATCATCGATGTCATCCTCGTCGTCCCGGCGACGATTTATTGATGAATTATTGCTGTTTTCATCGCCAATTCGTTCATCAGTGCCAGCATCAGAAAATTGTTGTGTTCGCAAGAAATGTGGATCAAAGAATGGCTGCAAAATGAATTATGCGTTATTTCTATTGTTATACTTTGATCAGTGGGTCAGTGTTTTTGTATCAAAAACTCACAGGCATAGCAAAGTGTTGAGCACCAGGAGCTTGGCGAGCAGCGCCCAACGCAATTAGCAAATTATGATTTTGAAGTGCTTGCAAATCATGTTGATCCGGTTGATCGTTGAAACCATTCGGCGATTGATCAGCACCAGATGTATTTCCAGTATCTTGATTTTTAGACCCTACATGCGAAAAAAAGAGGGTTTAAAATTTACTTGCCAATTACTTTATGGGAGCTGATAATTTTCCGGAATCGAGTACAATAATACTAGGGGAAGACACGGTTTTTAGTATTAAGTATATCTCCTAATTGCGTTTAATATTCTATAATGTTCCCTAATATTTTCTGCTCTTTTCTAATAAGCGTACAAATAGATTGATGTTTTGCTAATAAATTTCTGTTTAGCATTGACAATGGAGCCAACTTCACAGGAAATCGTTGAATGATTTTGATAAAGTTTTAATTTTTTCACTCCCTTTCCGGAAACTTATCAGTCCATGCAATAAATTCGATATGAATAAAAAAGAATGATGACTTTGAATTTCACTCACGTCTGCGTCCCGACTTATCGCCCTTCGGTCGTCTTCGGCGTGTGTGAATGGTGTCACGTCGCATTGAATGCGGCCGATTAACGCCGTGCAACTTGAAATAAAGACCGCATGCATTGCAAACCATTTCACCACGAACATTGCGCCGCCAAATGGTTGTCGTCAATGTTCCACAATTTGTACAAGACATATCTTTCTGATTTGGACTTTGGTTGTTTTCAATCGGTGCTGATTTTGGCTGCGATTGAAAAAAAAATCCATATTAATTTTCTGATTTAGAATAGCCATTGTTTTGAGAAAAAAGCCTATAAACTCTTAATTGTACTTACTTTTGTCTCAACGTTGTTGGCCCAAACTTTGGCATTTGATAGATCCATTTTTGATTCGTTCATCGGTTTTTTAATGTTTGCAAGTACATCGTTGTCATTTGATTTGTCTGTTGAAGCTTTGCTCGGGCACGACTGTTTTCGACGGCCTGACGATGATGATTTTGATCCCTCATGCTGGAAAAATAAATATGGACAATTTTTTTTTTTAATTCGCACTTGATGTTGATTTTAAATGTTATATAAAATTTTGTTCAGTGAACTTACCTTAACTAATGAGATTGGTTGATCGTTGATGTTGCGGGATATATTCAAAGCAGATGGAATTGGCAGACCAAGTGATCGGCAAGTAATCATTTGTCGCAAAAGCTGTGTTGCTTCATTTCCAGCTCCATTGCCTGAAATATAGATGAATTCAAGCAATATTTTAAAATGTCTCATTAAATTAGTTAAATGACTGTATCTCTACAAATTTAACCATTAAATATCTTACCGGTTGATCTAGCTAAAGCTTGCCATAGTTGTGTTGTAGCTGGATCTGTGCGATGATCGTCTGATTTGTTGCTTTCTGGTGTGTCTCGACCGGACGGTGTATTATTATTGAAGCTTCTGTTATGCTTATAAATCAATTTAACCGGTGACGATGAGCATCGGCCAACTGCGTCGTTGTTTGTATCATCGTTATCATGTGATGAGCTGATGTCCATTTCAAGTCGTCCCGGATCGCTGTCATTGCTATCGTTATCACTGTCATAGCGATTTCCTTCCGAATCATCGGTTGCATTGTATACTGGCTCTGTTTTGACACTGGCACTCGGTCGTGCATTTGAATTTGTGTGGTAAACGGTAGTTGTTACGTTATTACCTTTGGCATTAGTTTTCATGCGTTTCACTGCGGACGATGAATCGATTTCATCGCCACTCGAACGTTTAATGGTCATTTTAACATTTTGTTGGCCATCAACACCCAAACCGGGTGACTGTGGATTGGAGCTGGGCGGTGAAATGATCACCTTTTTACTGATATCCATTAAAACGGCAGCCGTTTCAAGATGTTGTTGTAATTGTGTTAAACGATGCATTTCAAGTGCAGTAGCCGCTTCGGGTGGCATTGTTGCGTGCATGTGATTCATTTGATTTAGGGTAACTGCCGCATTTATTTGACCAAGTGATTTTTTCACCGAAATTCGATTCGATTGTTGTGCATTTGGTACTCCGCCGGCACCGCTGTGTTGAATATTAGTTCCGTTGTTATGTTTATTGGCCGCATCGATTGGAATCACAGATACTGAATTCGCTTCCAAATGATCTATATGATTTTTGCTGAGTATTGAGGTAACTATTGCATTTGGGCTGGCAATTGATTTATTCTTCAAATGATGATTGTTATTGTTACGAAGTTCGGTAAGGGCGGCAGCGGCGGTATGCTCAGATGCTTCACGGCATGATACATGTAACATTTCATCCAAACTTGATGACGTTTGCTTGAGCACATCCTGCGTACAAAAAACACATAGAAAAACAATTATTTTAAATACAAAAAAAAGTTTCACTCATAGGAGAAGGAAGGATACAGAATCAATGAATATAATTGAATTTGGTTGTATATAGCATAGTATAATATTCCCAAGTGTAACACGAACGAGAAACAACAATGGCAATTGAAAAATTAAGCGTTGGCAATTTTTGTTTTTATTTCGTTTCGTTTCGGGATGGTTATTTTCGGTGATGTCAATGGCTGCGAGTTTTCGTTATGGAACACAAAATCAAGTTACAATTCAACACATCAAGAATTATTCCGTGTGGATTTCTTTGTATCTGGGGCTATTCTTTTTTAAATACTTATAGTATCGCTATTTTAGCTGGTGAGGCTAAAAGTAAGCGCTTGCTTTTTATACGCTTCTCTCTATCTTTCTTTTTGTCTTTTTTTATCAGCAAACCAAACTGTTCGAATGAATCACTCAAAATTGTCTGCGTGTATGTGTGTTTAAAAGATTTGCAAAAAAAGCGATGAAAAGGCCGGATCAACAAACTTTTGTACGAGCACCACTACAAGCATGTACTTTTATTATAATAAAAAATAAATAAATAAGTAAATGGCGACAACAAGAGACAACAAACCGAGCACGATGAAGAAAAGAAACAAAAAAAAAGTTATTATGAGTGACAAAAAACGTGATTACCTAACATTGCGTTTGCGTGTATACCGAAACACTTTTATCATACATAAATGTTGTAGATTTGCATATTTTTTGTATACATTTTGTCTTCATTTTTTTTTCTCTATTGCAGCTCTAACTCTTTCCCTTTTCGTGAATGTTTGCCGTTCTTTTCTGTCTTCAATGTGTGTTCATATTCAATAAATTTGTACTTTAAACAGCTGAGAAAGCGAAATAATAATCAATGTGCTATGCACACATTTGATTCAAGCTTGAATTAATTATTATATTTATATTGTGTCCATGTGATGATGGTCTTTAATCAACCAACAACCAAAAATGATGGAAACACTAATTTGAGCAAGATCAAGGTTATGATTATTATTCCAATATCTATGCATTCATTTAAATTTGTCGAGGATTTATTGTGAAATCACAAACAAACGAAAAAAAAGAACGTCAACCTTTTCATTTGGTATCATTCGTCTATTGGTTAATCATTGACAAGAATATGTATTTATGCCATTGCGGAGGCGTTCAATCAAATTATACGGAAACCTTTCGACATTGTCAGAAATAGACAGTTTTCTGTCGTTTTCCAGTTATGTATTTGTGGCGAAACAATTTTTTTGTATATCAGTTTTTTTTTTTCAAATATAATTTTGAATAGAATATGGAAGTCTATACATAGAATGAGAATCCATAAACAAAATCGTATTTTACTTTAAATCTGGGTTTTCGGATGATTGATTTCAATTATTGATGTGAATACATACAACTGATTTATATGGTATGCTGAATGTTATTTGCTTGCTCTTTGAAATGCTCTTTTGAAGATTCAAGATCTTGCTCTTTTGAAAGAAGACGAAGGAAAAAAATGGTTTGATATTTATTTTGCGTTTCGTGATTGTTACTTTTTCATTTTTGGTTTGTTGATTTTGATCTAAAGCGCGATTGGTATTTTGTGTGGCCCATTTGATTGGCCTGTCTTTCTCTCTTCCCGTGTGTGTACTTAGACAGATTCCTGCAATCAGCATGTATACACACATACACACAAAATGATGATATGATGATCATTGAACATCAAACAGAGCAAACTGAATCGCCTTGGCGGCTTTGTAGTTAATTTCATTTAGTTGTGCGATACGGCACACTCATAAAGCTGAGAGGAGAAAAGAAGCGAAAACAATGAAACCGAAAAAAAAGCAAGCACCAACAGTGCCAGATGAGATCGACAAACCATTGAAAATAATATAAACTCTCGGAGGAAGAAGAATAATAAATACACAAAACAAAATTCATCCAATTTGAATAAAATGCAAAGAGAGTTTCAAGCAACAACGAGCCACAGTACTAGAATACAAAACGAATAAAAACGGCCGACCGCGACACAGACTACATAAGCAGATGGAGAGAGGGAGAGGGGGTAAGAGAGAGAATAGTGCCGGCTATATATGCTTAACAGCAATTGAACGCGCACTCTGATAGCAAAAGCCTACGCGTTGATCGTTTTTGTTGTTTTATTTCTCTTTTAATTTTTATTTTTTTTATGGATAAGCATTTTTTTAAGAGGTATACGCGCACACAATCATTACACTTGGAATAATATAGATATGTAAGAAGAGAACGCAGAACATTTTCGCTTAACAAAAATCAAAGCAATGCATTGATTACACGAACAGTCACAATGCAGCGACCAAAGACGTGCACATCGACCGGAGAAAGAGAGAAGAAATAAAGAAGATTATATTTGTTTGTCTCTTCGACGAAAATGATTATTATCATTACATTACGTTTATTATTGTTATTCTTCTTCTGGTTGGTGTATTTCAACATTTAACATTGTTGTTGTGACTGGTGTTTTAACATTCATCTTTATGTATTCAGCTCACTTAACTTCACAAAAAGACATCACAGACAATAACGAACGCACACCGGAATGAACAAGATATACGGGATAAGAAGAAAAATAAGAAGAAGAAAATGTAATCAATCAACAAAACATTCGGAAAAGAATCAACCAACAAAACTTCTATAAGCATCAAACGGAAAGTAACAATGCAGAAAAAAACAACACACACTCACACAATCATCAAACGAAGTAAGATGAATGTGTGAATATTTCTGTATTTCATTTGTTCATTTTATAAGCCGGATTCTGAGTCAGAATAGTGAAAAGAGAGAGAGAGAGATAAGTCGAAGAGTGTGAAGAATAAAGTGTGATGAGCCGCAACTACTTTAATAACGATAGTGCCGAGAATTCGATGCCTCTTTCGATGGCTATTCTAATTATCACTGCAAAACAAAAGAAAAACATCCATAGATAACCATAAAAGCACTGGCAGAAGTCATATACACACGCAAACGCTTGCTTAAACATGTTAAAAATGCGAACAAAAAATGCAAAAACGGTGTGTGATAAAACTTTTGTTTGTCTTTTTTTAAAACACATTTAGCACATGTGTGAAATGTTATATTCTCGAAATCTTAACCGCATGATAAAATAAATATTGTATCAATAATTTAAGTGCTTTGGTAAACACGTTGTCTGATTGCGGGTGCTTCAACTGAGTACAAAGACGTATGGATTATGAATTTCCCATTTGCATGAATCTTGCGCATAAATGTTGCGTTATTTTTTATGAATTTATGATTTTTTTTAAGGCCCGACAGCGCCTTCTCTGTCAAATAATAATCGTTATTCGGCTATCATCTTGTTGGATATTTTTTCTCTCTTCTGTTGAACAGAGAGTGTCATATCATCATGGCATGCTCATTAATAATTCGTCTTCTTCATATTCGTCATTAACATTGTTAAGCCGTCATCGTGGCTCTTTTGTACTTCGATTTATGTGATTGCTTCGTTCTTCTCTTTCAAAATTTTTTTTTTCTTTTCATTTCATTCAAGCATATGATCTCATTTCTTCGAAAAACCTTTAGAATGAAATCATTAAAGTGATTCGGACAGAGATGGAATATATGAACAGACAAATGACACCAAAAAAATGAAGAATGTGCGCACGCTATCAACATTTTTTTTCTTACTTCTGATTGTGTGTGCGTTCATTTTTGTTTCCCCGTAGGTTCAATCATTGTGTGTGATCGATATGCCTGATAAGAGTGTGGCTGCCAAAAAAAAATAGCCACACGATCTTATGTCTGCTTTTTATCGAAAGAGAGATGTGCTTGTTTGTCTACTTGATTGGATGAATTTATTTTTTCTTCTTCTTTGAAGTTTATGTGGGTTAGACGCGTAGTTACACAACGCTGATTAACATTTTCGACTATCTTCTGGAATATCGTACATTATTTTGATTTTGCCTGGTTTGTGGTTTTTATATTCATTCGAAAGCACACGATCAAGATCGTGCATGATTATACAGCGAGCATGAGTATTCAAAATTAAATTCTTCGAAGTGGCTGAGACGTTTATCAGTCCGGCAACAGAGTACGAACACGATCAGGCCCATTTTAAATTATTATATGATAAAAAACAACACACACACAGCCCAGAGAATGACTTAAGATTTGTTTTTCGAAATGCCTACATGTTTGTTTGATCTATTTTTAACTCGTTTCATTAATGATGTTCGCAAACCGGTCAAATTGATAACTAAATTCTTTTGAAAACAGACACTTCGAATGGTGAATCGAAAAAAAATTAAGCACACACATATTAATAGCAAATTTAATTTGGCAAAAATAGCAAAAATCAACAACGGAGGCGTCATATTACATCAATTTGCCTTATTGCAACAATTTAAATCCATGTCGGCTTGTTGCTTATGCTTAAATGTTCGCTTCTATTTGACATTTTACTGTGTTTATGCATTTCAAAAAGAATGTTTCTTTTTTATGTTTCGAATTTCCTACGATATTCTAATAATAATACATAACAATCAAAACAACCTTTTCGTTTTTTTTTCGTCTTTCCATTGAATGCATTCGTACATTTGGTTTCGAAGAGGTTCAATTAAAATACGACGACACGAAGAAATAGATGTTATAAGAATGGAAAGAATGACGGAAAATAACACGATGTTGTAAATGATTCAATTAAAATTTTTATTTTGTTGATGTTACTATTGTGTGCAGTGTGCACGGTGATATCAACAAAAATATTGTATATGACATACACACGACGTCTAGATGGGAATTTAAATGATCTATTCGAAACATCAAACACACGAATAACGCTTACAACGCACACCAAATATACGTATTTTGAATATGGATAGAAACAAAAGTGTTTTTACAATGGTATAACCGAAACAAAAATACCGCACCATTTATATATACGTAGGTACAATTTGCCATATATTTTTTTATCTCTGCGATATTTCTTTGATTTCATTAGAAATATTAGCATACAATCAGAAAATATTTATGCAAATCGAAACTGACATGCAGCACCGTGCGGGGTTATACAGAGCGGCTTTTAATTTAAAAGGTTTAAAATATGAATCACTAATATTTCGGAGAAAAGACGCTATGTGTGCTGATTACAATCGAGAAAAATGAAAGAGTATTGCGATAAATTTATGTGTACCACAGCACTGAAGCTGGCAAAGAAAACCGAATTAATGGTATATAACAGAGCTGTTATAGAGCTGATGATGTAAATTTAATTGAATATATATTGAATGAAATGGTTCGACGCATACGGAGCGAAAAAAAACGAGCAGAGAGTGTTTTACGAAATGTACTTCAAGATCACGATTATATGACGATAATGTGCGTTGGAATCGATCATGCGCGCGCGCCTATACAGCTCTCCATAGCACAACAATCACTCGCATTTAATCAAAAGGTGTGTCACGACAAACACACAAATTCAAATTATGAAAAGCGAAAAAAAGCGCGCGCACACACACACAAAACACCACAACGAATTGGAATACTGGCCGAGAGAAGAGAAAGAGAGGTACATAATCAAACGCGCATTTTAAAATAACAACGACAACAACAACGAACCAACGAAACTAAAATAATAATAATTCTTTTCGAGCATTTACGATTCACATATCATTATCTACTTGGATGATTTTCAATTGTGTTTGAGTTCGTCGTGCATTGTGGTGTGTGTGTGTGTGTGTGTTGGATCGCGTCTTTCGATGTTCGCAAGAGCGACCTGAGTTGTTATCGTTGTCATTGTCATCCAAACGGATGACACGCTGCTCTCTTTCTCTCTCAATTACCTACTCACGATTCCTCATCAAATGTCATTGCATGTTGTGTGTTTACCACTTTCAACGGACCCATATCCAAATCCATTTCGAATACGATGGGCTAAAGGTTTCGTGAGATCATTTTAATCGTTTTGTTGTAATTTAATTCGGATTTTGTATGTGTGCTTATTTTTTCTTCAAAAACTCGATAAGGTCATCACATTTTATCAAAGAGCGTCGATTCGAAAGAAACAGTCATTTCAAGATTCTGAAAAGCAATTTTTATCTTCAAAATAATGATTTATTTTGTTTAATATGCGTTAACAATTGATGTATCAAACGATCACTGAGTAAAAAAGCTATGGCGACGATAACAAAAGAGGTCTAACGAGAAAATACGCTGAAAAATTACAATCGAAAGAATCAAGTCGATTTGAGGCCATATCATTTAAGACAATGAACGCACATCGTAGAACGAAATGACGAAAGTAATAGAAAAAAGAAAATTGAGGAGAAATTACCAAAAAAAAAGTGGTAGCGCGTTTCCATTAAAAAAGTGTGTATCTCAACGGTTCGCACTATCGTCAGGAAATGACTACTTTTTATTATTATTATTACAGTTCATTGCTGTTAGGCCGCTGCACAAAGTACAATGTGTCATCGAAGAACATGTGTGTACTGTGTATATATGTAATGTGGATTTTTCTTTACATTCCGAAACAAAAACGAAATATTTCAGTCTTTTCTTCACTCGGCTTGATTCACCCAATTCAACTTGGCGAATTGTGGACTGTGACGCTTTGGTCATATACAGTGATAATGTTTTTTAATTCGTTTTATTGTTTTATGTTGTTGTTTTTTTTTTCTTACTTCAAACGCTTGCTTCTTCAGCGGAATTATACGCTTGAGATGATTTTAGTTTTCGTATGCTTTAACGCTTCGGGTGAAATCGTTGCTCTTTTTTTCGTTTCTTTAACTCATTTTTTTTACTTAGTAATACAGTGTGTTCGGTTGATTCTATTGTCTTTTTTTAACGTTTATTGTGTTATCTGTCGAAAAAGCCGATGTTGAAAATAGATAGACCATTTCGACTAGTGATTTTTTCTTCTTCTTCATTTTGTTTATGTGTTGCTTTTGTACATCGAATGAGTGGTATCGCAGCAAGGTGAGAGCAGAATGTCGAAGTGTATGCCTGAATATTTGTGTGTGTGAATGAATGTATGATACGTTTCGACGAAACAGTTGATGAACAGAGGGCTTATGTGTACGCTGTACGGTGTACACATTTCCTTTTTTTTCCATTGAATTGCTCCCAAAACACCGAATAACCAAATGAGCAACAGATGTGTGTATGTCGCACAACAGCCTGTTCTTTTTTGTTACTCAATTACCGTAATTTTTTTTTCTTCTTCTCTTCATTGCCCTCATGTGTTCATTCTCTCTTATTTCTTGAATTAAACTTTAATAACATAGGCAAGGTGGTATGTTTTACACATATATGCATGATAACATACGAAATGCCATTACATACACCTTCTTCCGATTCTGGTTCGTTTCTGTTTGCCCGATGGAATTTATCATACATGCTATGCTACGTTGAAATCAGTTTTTTTAATGTTTGAGGGGGAAAATGTAATGTAGTTCTTTGTCTTACCTGTGGATCACCCGTCAATTTGTTGGCGAATTTTATAAAATTCTGCAATTTTTGCTGTGAACGTTGTGCTTTATCACGAAATTGTTGGCATGTATCCAATTGTGTTCGGCACATATTACATACGATCGCCGGTAATCCATCGTTTGGTGACACCTGTAATGAAAGAAAAGAACACACACCAATGAGTACAATTGTTTCTTTAGCCTACAAAATTGTCATTTTCTTAAGAATAAAAACAATCATTTGGAAGTCATTAAGTAGTTTTAACATGTTGCACAATAAACAATCAGTAAATTGAAATCTTTTGATTGTTTCGTTCCCTATGACTGTGACCTGTTGATTTGCGTCGTTTTTTTCGCATCCATCACTTAACACAAAAGATGCGTCTCTTAACCTCATTTGTTAAAACGGTTATTATCGTCTACTTCTTTTGAATTTTGGAGAAAATTCGGCCAGAAGATTGATCGGCAGTCGTGTGTGCGTGGTGTGTAATTTAATTATAGTACGACGCACATCACAGCCCGTTTGAATGGAAAGTTTCACATGATGTAGCAAAAACAAATGCAAATAACAAAAGATTCATCGATAAATTCGGTGCCATCGAGCACCATATCGCTAATTAACATTAACCGGAGAGAATGAAAATCACGGAAATTTTTGAACTTAATTCAAAATTGAGGTTTTGGTTCAGTGCATACAGTGAATATTCCACGACCAATGATGAATTTTCGAAAATTTTTGTCATGATCTCAACAACAACAGTAGCTACATCATTTATGTGTCCCCCCTTTAATTTCGACCAATACAATTTGGGCTTCATCAGATTTCGCACCGAAAACAATAGGCATTACCAGCGAATTTACGCAATTCACACATTAATTCTCGACATATTGTCATGGAAAAAAATCGAAATTGGCACAGAGCAACAGAAAAGAAAAAAAATGGTTCGGTGAATTCAAAATCGTTTTTCGTTATTTCCTAAAATCATGACAAACTGTTTTTCTTTTGTTGCATAGAGCATTATAGAGTTGATGGACTCGCAATCTGGCATGCGAATCAAATAAAATTGATTTGGACAATTTTTTGCGATTTTTATTTTCTTTATATGGATAGATGATAATGAGAATTTGGGCACTTTTGAATTGAAGATATATCGAAGCGGTTGTTATGCGTCAAACTAAATTACAGATGATGACTGCAACGGATACTGAATAGGCATTGAAAATCGTAAGATATAATTTGATTTGTATGGTTATTAACGATTGAACATTTCATTTTTGCTATCACCGTTCAAATTTCGTGCGTTTATTGAATGATGCAAAAAAAAGCACATTCAAACATAAATTACATCATGGGAATGAATTGTACATAATTAATGACTAAAAGTGTCTATTTTTTGTGTGTTCACCAAAAATTTCTAAATTGAATTAATAGCCCGAAAATAGTTTAAATTTAAAATTCACGCCATTCATGTGTTCATTTTTTTGCAGTACTTTTGTTTGGTCATATTCAATATTTTTTTAATCAACTTATTTATGGTCCTTTTTCCCTCATAAATGTGAAGTTTATTGCATTTGATTTTTTTCGCTTCTCATTTTATTGCATTTAATCAATTTTTGTATTGAAAGCGTTGTCTGCAATTCTAAAGAACCGTATGAATTCGATGATTTCGCATTGTATTTTTTTTTTTTGATAAATTTAGCGTTTCTGTTGTCCACCGATTGAAACATTATGAGTTATGCATATATGCTATAGTAATCGTTTCAAATATTGATTTAAAAAGCAACCCATTTGTTGGTGCTTTACGTAAAACAACATAAAAGGTGAATGAGATATGTGCGATATCGATCTTTTGCATCGACAGAAAAGTGTGACAATTGTATTTCTCCAAATGCATAAATTCAACAATTTTCGCGCAGCCTCGAATTTTGCGGCAGCATATCGCCGCCACACAAGCATTAATAAGCGTGCGGTAGTAACACGTGTGGTTGTCATTTGGCATTGAAATAAAAAAAAAAACTACATATTACAAAACATAAAATTTAATTAAAAATTTCCAATTGAGAAGTGAATTAACAAAAGCCATTTGAATTCAATGTGAGTTATACACATTTTCGATTAAGCGTTTAATTTATCTGTCGATGTGTTTGACTATATCAAAGCTCTTATAAATCGGCACCTCGTTTTCGATCATTCCGATAAATTGGTAAGTAACATTCAAAAGTCGAATATCACAACACGCATCGTTTCGTTAAATTGCTGACCGACAATGAAACTAAATCAAGAAAGCGAGCCGCAGTGAATCGATTCGAAAAGAAATATAAAAAAACATACGTATACATTCAATCTTATTCAGGCGTCGAATTTGAAATGTTAGTCTTGATTCGTGATTCGTCCAATCTACCAATTTATCGCTCTCTCTTGCTCTTTCAATCGATGTATTCGACGATGCCATTTGTTACAAATGCAATATCACCACGCGAACAACACACAACATCAGCATATATAAGCTGCAAGTAAGCAGCATCATGCATATTTTTCCATTCGTCATAGCATGAAATTCAAACGTCGCAATTGTAAAAAAAATATAAGAGAATAATGCCATTTTTTGTGTATGCTGTGTGGTGTTTGCTGATTGGTTCTCTCGTGTTTTTGTTATTATTTCGTTTTCGATTAAGCATTGTAAAGGTGTTACAAAATGCCATGACTCTGTGGATTTTATTAATTCACGTACGATAACACAATATTATATATTATTATTAATTTCAAAAAAATCACACAAATCGTGTTTAGGCCAATGTGAACTTTACACATCGCGGTTTCTTGGTTAATCTATCTGCACTGAATTGATATACCTAGGCCATTGATTGTGTGATATTGATGGAAAAAGGAGGCGAACAAGAATGAACACAAAAAAACCACACATATTGGAACAAATATAAAAAAATACGAATCAAAATAAAATTCAACAACTCAGCGATTACGTGGGTATATATATCTAGATAAAGAGAAGAAAAAAACGTACTTTTTAATTTGTATGTTTTGTTTATTTTTTTGTCGATTCTTTGCTTCAACCAATGTATACCGAATATACCAATGGCGTTCATTATTTTTATGTTATTGTTTGCATCATGAATGGCGAAGGCGAAGCGAAAAAAACACATAACCTAAGTGTTTGAAATGTGTGCGCGAACAACAACAACAATAATAATAATAATAACAACACACACACACACACACACACACACACACACACTTTCGAACGCAATCAAAAATTAATTGCAAGTACATTGAATGCGTTCTTTTTATTGGCCGACAGTATCATTAAAGTCTGCGAAATGTTTAATCTTCCTTCATGAGGTAGAGTGTGGTTAAATTGCTTCATTTGAGGTGTATACATTGCTTCAAGGTTAGATTAAACGGCGAAATCATAGTTTCTAATAATTTGATTATCGTATACTTTTGACGTTGGTCTTTACCATTCCTTCAACTATATTATCTATTGGCCATGATGTGGCCGTCATCACACCGACGCACCAAAGCTGCTTAGAATAAATGTCGAATGAATGTCGAAATTTGATCGGAACCGCACGATTTTGGTGAACAAATCTTGTTATCGGTGTCGATAAAAACTTGCCCAACAAATTCCATATTCAGAGAGGGAAAAGAGAGTATTAGAGAGGACCACTTTACGTATGGTATGCGTGAACCACTGCCACCACATTTGGGCAAACTTTTCGATTGATATTAATCCCATTGAGAGAGTATTCTCTTGGCCAAACAACTTTTGGAACTAAGTGTTAAATCAAATCACGAAGTTGCTATATTATTTATGATGAATCGTTGTTTAACCGTTCGAACAGCAGACACATCGAGTGCAACGTACTTGTACACGCGCGTTCTCTCTCTTCCACTCGTCTCAATGAGAATAGATAAAAATCGGTGATAAAAAAATACCTAAAGAGGAATGTTGTCGTCGACAAAGAATCGTTTTTTTTTTTGCTCTTCTGTTTGGATCACAAGCATTTGGCTTTATGAGCGAATGTTAAGGAACATTTTATGTGTATCTTGCAAAAATCTTTACGACAAAAATTGTACGAGTGTGGTAGTTAACGCATGACCACACCGAAAATGAATTAAATACGCTTTAATAGTCGAAATGTGTATCCACTAAAAGCTAATCGTTTTTAGCAGTGGCCAGTTTACGTAATTCGTGTTTCATTATGTAAGAACATACGATGGGGAAATGTATAACGAAACGCTCATTTTTGCTGACACATTCAGAGACAAAATTCTTATTCTTACTGTCCAATTGAATCTTCTTTTATCACTTGTCTTGCCATTGTGTGATATGTTTGCCACGAAGAAGTGTCACTAAAAAGTTGATCCGAAAATTGCACAGAGTTTCATTGTATTTGATCCCAAATAGAGGCTCTCATTTTATGTAAGACTGGACTCGGAAAGCACCGGAAAAAACATTGTCTACAGGTTTTTGATGTGCTGAAGCCGAATTTTTGGGTTTCATGTCAGGAGAGTGTATTTGTTGTGTGTTTAGCAAATAAAGAATTCATCCGATGATTCAAATCCACCAAACACAGAGAAAACACACATACATACATTCATTGGAACATTCACATTTGGATCGACACACAAAAATAATAAATAAATTAATGAGCCGAAAATATTTTAAATTTACAGTTCACGCCATTTTTTTACAATAATTTATTTATTTATGGTCCTTTTTCTTATAGAAAATTTTATATCGAAAAAATCTGTTTTGAAAAAAGTAAGATGTATTGATTGTCTCATGCAGTTCCATACAAACTGTGCAAATAATCAACCGAAAAAAACTCTATCAAAGTGTTAACCTAATTTTTCTATAAAAAACACATGAAGCATGAATAATTGTATGGGTCTACTCATTCTCCACCGGATCTACGAATCAAGATATATCAACAACAGCAATTTGGCTGCCATTTCATTTTCATGTTTCTCTGCTTGCTTTCCCTCTATCTTCTGACGACCACTTAATGATTGTACATTTTAAAAATTTAAGTGCTCACCGTTCACAGTTGTGTTGTCGAGAAACGCAAAATCGAAAAAAAGAATTAATTTATCATATTTTTTTCGAGTTTACACAAGTCGGCCGCTTG